TACCTCTTGTTATGCTAAACTAACACATTTTTGCATGAGATACAGTGAATTTTACTCAACCCTAATGCTTGATGTTGGCAGGACACCCAAAATGTTCTACTAGTGTTAAGAGAGTCACAGCTTGAATTTCTGAAAATCATTTTATTTTTTGGAAACTGTTACAGTACAATCAATTACTTTGATCGTCTTTGAGGTTGTCTAGTTTCCATGGTAATTATATGATTAGACGATCTAATTGGGAGAGCGAAAAAAATATATAAGTTTTAATACTGTAATGTGTCACGTGTTAATAAATGGACTCAGAACATGTTTGTTGTTATTGAAACAATCAGGGCTGTGTAAAGTGGATGTGCTGCACAGCACTTGTGATCTCTTAAAAAAAAAAAAACACTCTAGCATTAGCAATACAAACATGTTTTTCTAATCCTAAAGTATTGTATAATTATTTAGATTATTGGCCCCTTAATTAACTAAAATCAGAGTTCAACTTACTTTATTTCCCTGGTGTGCCAAGCTCTCCTTCTGTTGGCTGAGATCATCAATACTGAAGATTTCAGCCAATCCAGTGCTTTCCCATTGGGGAACAGTGGGAGGCTAGTGCACAGAAAACGCTGTGCTGAGCCAATCAGCATCTCCTCAAAGCATCTCTATGGGAAGCATTGGAGACTCTAAATATCAGTGTTGCAATCTTTGCAGGGCTGCAACTAGGAAGGCCCTATTTCTGAGATAAGGCAGTATTAATACTGCTGCCAATGCTGCCTCTGGTTGTCTTCACATTGACTGTAACTAAACACAGCCTTTTCTCAGAAATAGCAGCATTTACACTTCATACACTGCATGGACAGGCTATTTGCCCCAGTACCATTACATTAACCTGTAGTGCGTCTGGTGCTTAGAGTGTACCTTTATATTAGTGGAGATTTCGGCACAATCCAATAGCTAACTAAAACTTTTATTTTCTGTCAATTCTCAGTATTTTTTTTCTTTTTTGTTTTATTTGCAAGGCATACTATCTAAATTTTATTAACCCACACTGTGCTGAACAAAATGGGCGCATGCTCGGGTGCATGTGAAACCTAGGGGACCGCACTAGAAGGCTCTATGCCATTGGTTCCCAAACCAATTCTCCAGGCAAAATAGCACTAAAGGTTTTGTCATTATCTCCACTGGCACAGAACTAGGAAATGTCTACATCTTCAAATGTTGGTGAGAATTGAGGACTGGGTTAGAAACCACCACTCTAGGTAGCAGTTGCTTGAAATGTCCATTCAAGTTAAAACTACAGTGTGAAACTTCTGAAATATCTCTTGTTGCAGAACCACTGCTTATTCGTATGTTTCCCCTTGTACTGTGTGTTTTCCCCTGTATTTTGTGCGCTGTGTTTTGTTCTCCCGTTCGAGTGCATCCATACGAACAGAACCCATTCGCCTCCTGAACAGGGACCACCCAGGTGCCCTATTAGAATGTTCACACCTAATTAATTAGAACATTCACACCCGTAAAATAAGTGCCAAACCACAAGGGAAATAATTAATGAGTGCTACCCTGGGTGGCCGCCATTTTGTATAGACGAATGCCAACCAGTGGAAGCATTTGTATCCTGAAAGGAGACACTTTCTTTGCCTGGGGTTCACACTAGAGCTGCGCGAACGTAGACCAGTCGGGGAAATGTACAGTGTGGAGATTCATAAGGTTGGTGGGGACACTTTTGGGGCACTGGCTAGTTTGGTGGTCTTTTTGTGCCTGGGAGACAAAGAGACTAGGTCCCCTTTTCCCACGCCTGGGCTCCCAGGCACAGAGGATCCTGGGATGAAGACCCCTGTCATTTAGTGTGAAAGACCCCTTGTATGTGGGGGTGGGCTTTCTGTACCTGGGAGACAAACAGACTAGGTCCCTTTTCCTGCGCCCAGACTCCCAGGTACAGATGATCCTTGGATAGAAACCCCTCTGTGTCTGTGTGGAAGACCCCTTGCAAAGGGTTATGAATAAAAGCCGGGTGTGGCATAATAAAATCGTGTTGTACTCCCAGAGCTGTGTCTTGTCCAGTTACTGGGGAGAATGGGTGTCTTTATTCTGTAAACAGTTCCAGAGTGGCTGAGGGAGGTAACCGGTCGGGTTACCCGGGGTCCGCTACATCTCTGAATGAGCCAAATGTGTTCTGGCTCTATTTACTAATATTTTACAAATACTAGTCCAATTTAGTGCCAAAGCCTGGCCATTTGAAGAACACATGTAAATTCCACCAGCTAATGACCTTGGTTTCAGACACCTTAGTTGGTGATGCTTTAATGACCCAAAAATAAATATATCATGGGTGTGCACACAGTGGTGAAGGCATCTAGAGTCAAGATATGCCTCAAGGAACCATGTGCAGAGCAACAGACTAGGTGTAGAAGAGATAGCAGAGCAAGCTTAGGGAGAAGGTTAGGGATATCAGAGGTGAGGAAGCAGCAATGAAGTATATAATGAGTTTTGGGATAGAGGAAATTTCTGTTTTCGGCTTTAAGATCTGTCAGCATTGCAGATGAATTTATAGAAGTTCAACTCGAAAGCCCAGCACCGGCAGGCAAAATGAGTTGCGGCAAAAGCTTGTTGGTGGTATAAACATGACTTTTGAAGTAAACTTTTACTCTTGCATTCACAGAACACGTACCCACATAACACACTTCAAACCATAAATCTCAGACATGCATGTAATACCTGCAGGACAAATACATAAATATATCACAGGGCACACCACTTAGGAAGTGGAAGTGTTGCAGTCACAAGTTCCCTAGAAATGTCATTGTACACACCTGTAAATTTTACCACAGAGCACTTAGCAGATAAAGGGCATGCAACGAATATCACTAGGTTTTATCTTACTCGATAATGCAAACACCGATGATGATGTTATGTACTGTATCCCAGGATACACTTTAAAATTGTTGGCTTTGAAAGGATGAGCACCATTAGAGCAATGAGCCGTGGATATCAATGCTATTCTTGCTTCTTATTTATAGCTGTAGGGTGAGGCGAGGGCAAGCAGAGCTCCAGGCTCTGGAAATGAAGGCGCATTACAGCATGTGTCCAGGTCGAGCACAAATGAGTCCCAAGATTAAGACGGGTGGCCAGCAAGTCTCTTCTGGATAGCCAATTGCAGACAGGCAGTTTTGGCCTTGATTGGTTAAGCAGACACAATTTTACACTGAGTCCAATTTTCACGTTTTTCAATTATTACCAAATGTGTTTTTAAGTTCCCTTTGTTAAACTGACAAACTGGAATTTCGTTTGATCTTACCTTAAATATACAACAAGGGGACACAATCAGCTCTTAAAAGAGGACCATGAGCTATATAAGATTCAAAATGGGGATTAACAGTTTTTTATAGCATGTTATAGTAATAAAGAGGGACAGAGAGATTTGGGTCCAAAATAGGGACTGTCTCTCCTAAATAGAGACACTTGGGAGGTACGCATAAATGAAGTTCTCACCAGGTTACCTCTGATTTTTTTGTAAACAGTGTTCTTGACATGTTCTATGTTTTTAAACATCACACACAATCCCTGTCTGCTCTGTGGGGTTATTCTCATATGGAAAATCAGTCAGCTAGATCAATAACTGTTTTTCCATAGAGACCCAGCCTGTGAAATGAAGCGGTAAAATCTCAAATAATTTTTAATAGTCCTTTAAGCATGAACCAGTCAGGATAGAATTATAGATTCCGCCAGGTTCTTATAGACGTATATTGGTATTACTGGCATTTCAACTGCTTCACACTTAAAATTATGAAGTTCTGTCCTCTGTATAGGTGACTGAGTTCAGAATACAGTTATAGCAATTCTGGTTGCCATTACCATCAGAGGTAGTTTGAAGTCACTGAACTCGGACATATGAATGACCATTGGGTAAGAAGTTAGTAATGACAACGACCATAGTACACATCAGCCAAAATACATATAGTAAAAAGCAAAGAAAAAAGTTACCTGCGCTCTTTCCACATCCCTGTGTATTTTTAAACAAATGGAGGTTTTTAGTTACCTCCAATGGCCATGAGAGGGTATGCCCACCTGCCATGTCAAGGCAGACCTCTTAGGTGGGTCCTACTCTAACCATTTACTTTGCTTCCTTGAGCTTCTGGCAAAAAAATCTCTAATGAGACAGGTAACTTTTTTCTTTGGTTTTTACTGTATGTATTTTGGCTGATGTATACTATGGTCATTGCTGCCGCCCAGGAGTAATGGGAGTTGGAGCGCAGGACTAGTTTCTTTGTATTGTATTCACTTTTGTATTACACAGGTAGGTTACAATGCTGCTGCCCATCCCATGTGTTCCCTATTAAGGGTTAATAAGTATATAGGGGTGTATATAAAAAATACCCCTTTCTGTCTCATTAGAGATATCTTTGCCAGAAGCTCAAGGAAGCAAAGTAAATGGTTAGAGTAGGACCCACCTAAGAGGTCTGCCTTGACGTGGCAGGTGGGCATACCCTCTCATGGCCATTGGAGGTAACTAAAAACCCCATTTGTTTAAAAATATATAGGGATGTGGAAAGAGCGCAGGTAACTTTTTTCTTTGGTTTTTACAATAAGTTAGTGATGGTTTATCTAAGGCTAAATATTATCATAGTTGTGTTGGCGAGCTGTACTAAAGAGTTTGTTGGTGATTTAAAACATATAAGCAAATAGGAGTAATATATATATATATGATAGAGATGGAGAGATGACTGATTGACAGACAGATAAATAGACAGAAAAACAGATAGATAGATAGATAGACAGACAGACAGATGACTGACAGATAGATAGATAGAAAAACATAGATATAGAGAGTTACGTTCTTATAAGTCCGTACATAACTTCTCTTTAAGCCAAACCAGTTTAATTAATAGCTTTTCCCTTGACTTGCTGAATTACTAAGAAAAGTGTCATATACACGACAGACCCACAAGGGGAGTTGCTGAACCACTTTGTGGCTTGGAGGTAAGGTGTGTCTTCTTAGATAAGCTAAATGACAGGGATTTCACTTCCCCTCTGATCCTAGTTGAGCTGCTTGTTCAGAGAGCTTGCAGTGTTTGACTTGCTTGCAACACGGGAACATTACTGTTGAGCTTGCCGATGTGACGAAGGTTTTCTTACAACCTAAGGTGACTCATAGAAGCCAGAGCTTGCAATAATTTATGGCACCGAGGAATCATAACAGCAAAAGAAAGGTTTGCTTACAATTCTTTTGTAGCCTTCAGCAATATTACCGACACATATAAAAATCTGTTACAGCCGTGGACAATCCTCGAAACATATTTAGAAGTTACTTACAGCTTTGGACAACACAAGAGAAAAATTAGTTTGTGAAATTTGGAAATAACAGATCGTCAAAGAAAAAGAAGAATGAACAGATCTAAATGCTTTGGTAAAATAAAGAAAAAGCTGGAGGAAGCCAAAAACAGATGGGCTAGAATTACAAAAGTAGAATTTAGCCACAATGAGAGTGCTCGTTTGGCAACTGACGCCCTTTTGGATGGGGGTCTTGAAGCCTACCAGAAAGTTCTCAATGATGAAGGAGAAGTGGACTTTCTTTCTGAAGAAGAAGTCAAGTACATAAAAGCCAATGCCAAAGAGCCCTACTACGCCAACGATTTTCTTTCGGATGGTGACTCGGAGCCTGTATCAAATGGAAACCATTCAGACGAGTCCGAATGTTTTTACCCCATGAATTCAGATAACAGTGAATCCAAAACACGATTACACAACTGGAGCTCCGAGGATAAGCCGTATCTCAAAGACAAGTCCAGTGCTACTGTCTACTTCCAAACTGATAAGAGTAACAATATCCGAGAAAGTATTAGGAGATGTATACACAAGACAACGCAGGTACAATATGTAAATGTACATATAATATATATTTAAATCAAATCGTGCACTGTGTCTATGGGGCATGATCGATGGCAAGGATAATTATAGATGCTGGGGTAGTTTGAAATACTTTCAAGTGGGTGTCAATCTTCAGCGCAAAATTATTGAGGCTGTTCATTTCTTTTCCAGAGTCTCTTATTTGTCGGATCAAATCTGGACAGTCTGATATGACCCACAAACAGAAGACTTCGTTATGATAGCTATGATATGTTCTGTTGTGTAGAAGTATAGAATATTTGTGGATACTTTAAAATAAATCAGCAAAAAGAATAATATATTGCATATTATAGTCCACATATGCCCATAACTGACTGTGGCAGGTCTAGCACTCTTATTAATTCAAAGAAGTGAAAATTTAGTATTGGTATAAAGAAAGCGCATGTCACGCTAGAACAATAAGTTTTTTGTTGGTGTATGTAATATGTAGATCTTCGCTACGGCTTTACACTGAAGGGTGAATTGTCAAAATAATTCCAAAGTGAATTTCAAACGTCCATCCAGAATAACTTAACTAAAAACAAAGATGACTTTGAGAATGTTTCCCGTTCATCAATTATGTTCTAAAATGTAAAATTCACTTAGAATTCCTAACATGACATTCTTTAGTAAATACTAAGTGTGTGTCCAAACATAGACATGTGTGTCTGTTCCATGCAAAGTGCTATACTAATCTACATGTGTACTCTGTTGCCATTAAAAGTGGCAGTAAAGCAGGTTATGAGTTAGAAATCTAAAAAATAATCTCGTAGAGCTGCATCGCTTAAATCAGAGGGCAGGTCCTGCCTAACGAATATTGACAGTCACACAGAAAAGTCATTGTTTGAAAACACATAAAAACTGCTAACAACATGTTTGGGTCTTAAGTCAAACTGCTTACGTAAAAAGAGAAAAATCATGCAAGCAGTAAAGTAAGGTTAAAGGACCACTAAAGTGCCAGGAAAACATACTCGTTTTCCTGGCACTATAGTGCCCTATAGTGACGCAACCCTCAGGGTCCCCCTCCCGCCAGGCTCTGGGGGGAGGAAGGGGTTAAACTTACCTCTTTCTCCAGCGCCGGGCGGGGAGCTCTCCTCCTCCTCCTCTCCGCCTCCTCTCCTCCTCTTCGACTGAATGCGCATGTGCGGCAGGAGCCGCGCGCGCATTCAGCCAGTCCATAGGAAAGCATTCACAATGCTTTCCTATGGACGCTGGTGTCTTCTCAATGTGAAAATCACAGTGAGAAGCGCGGAAGCGCCTCTAGCGGCTGTCAATGAGACAGCCACTAGAGGCTGGATTAACCCTAATATAAACATAGCAGTTTCTCTGAAACTGCTATGTTTATAGAAAAAAGGGTTAACCTAGCTGTACCAGGCACCCAGACCACCTCATTAAAGGACCACTATAGTGCCAGGAAAACATACTCGTTTTCCTGGCACTATAGTGACCCCCTCCCGCCCGGCTCTGGAAAGGGGAAAGGGGTTAAAACTTACCTTTTTCCAGCGCTGGGCGGGGAGCTCTCTTCCACCGATCCTCCTCTTCTCCGCCCCGTCGGCTGAATGCGCACACGCGGCAAGAACTGCGCGCACATTCAGCCGGTAACATAGGAAAGCATTCATAATGCTTTCCTATGGACGCTGGCGTGCTCTCACTGTGAAAATCACAGTGAGAAGCACGCAAGCGCCTCTAGCGGCTGTCAATGAGACAGCCACTAGAGGAAATAGGGGAAGGCTTAACCCATTAATAAACATAGCAGTTTCTCTGAAACTGCTATGTTTATGAAAAACTGGGTTAACCCTAGCTGGACCAGGCACCCAGACCACCTCATTAAGCTGAAGTGGTCTGGGTGCCTAGAGTGGTCCTTTAAGCTGAAGTGGTCTGGGTGCCTAGAGTGGTCCTTTAAAATAGAGCCATAAAACTTCTCCTACTCAGCTGTAGAAGCAGTGTCTTTAAGGCAGCGTGATACATAGTTGATTGTCTTGTCCAGAAAATGAATTAACAAGAAGGTCTCTCTTTCTCCCTCTCTCTCTCTCTCTCTCCTCCCTTTAATTCTGAATAAAGGGATTCTGTAGTCCGGAATTTTAGGTTCCCTTCTCTCCGTCACCTTTTTGTTCACCCCCTTTGGTATTAAAAATGTAAATTCATAAAGTTTACTCATAGAGAAACAATGTATTAGAAGTATGCATGCGCGAGCAAACGCTGCGCTCCTCCAATCAAGTGCCGCTGTCAGCTATTTGATGCCAGGACCGAGTTCCACTCGATCCTGTAGGAGGAATCGCCACTCGTGGTTGTCAGGAAGATAGCCACTAGAGGTGGATTTAACCTTTAATGTAAACATTGCTGTTTCTGCTAAATGATAGAGCCACTGCGCCCAGACCACTTTATAGAGATGAAGTGGTCTGGGTGACTTCCGTGATCCTTTTGTCATGAGATGACCTTAGGTGGCCATCTAGAGCCTTGCGGTAAGTCTGCGGCCCTGGAACAATTAATTTGCTTGGCCATATTCACCTTCCATTTGTGAAGAATGAAGGGGGGCTCCAAACCATTACCCTTCCCACGACCAACTCTGTCTGTCTCTCTGCAAATCTCTCCTTTCAAATCTCATCTTTGTATCCCTCATCTTCCCCATCTCTCTTCCATCGCCCTATCTACCCACATATATCTCTAATCTACTTACAGCTATTTCCCTCTCTCTTACCTTACCCTTTTTCTTTATTTTGTACCCACTTTTCAGCATTCCACACAAACAAGATATGACATGTAGTCCTTTCAATGTCACAAAAAAGACATCACCAACATCTATAGGGTTAAAGAGAGGTCAAAGCCATTACCTTGGGGTGAAAAGCTATGGCTCATCATTTAAACCACAAAGCTTAGATAGATGTTAGTAAACTTTCTGAGAATGATCTCAGTAAACAACAAAATAAACCGCCCATTTGAACCCCTTTATGATAGACAATGATTCAGAGCCGGCACAATATCACAGGATCCTTCGATGCTCCCCGGTGGACCGGTGACTCTCAAGCCGCAGCTCTTGCTATTCATTGGCCGAGAGCGGCATCTGCTATCTCTCAGCCAATGACTGACTTTATAACGTTGCACATATAGACTCCAGGCACCATCACTGAAGTTGTTATGGTGCTTGCAATAATCCTTTAACTCCTAGTTAATGATAACTCCATTAATGATAAGCAAGTCTTAAATTATTATTCTTTTCAAGAATTTGATGTATTCTACTATTAGACTGTATATAGGCTGTTTACAATCTTCTGGTATACGTAAGCGAAATGACTAAGTGGCCTATTTACTAAACTCAACAGCGTTGTGTCTCATGCACAAACAGAAAGTTATCCCGTTACCGAATCTGTTTTCCCAGACTCATTTTCTCTTGGCAGGAGTCTGAAAGGACAGATATGGTTTCTGTTATGTGAAGTGACACATTAATGTTGTTTGAATATGTTGCAGAAACTTTTCTTTTACCATTAGGAGAGCTAATTAACTCTCTGATACAGAGCAACTTTCTGATCCATGCACATAAGGCAATAAGACTGAGCATCCATGAGTACCGCAGGCTCAACACACAGCAGAGAGGATGAGGTCCACCGGTACTGCTCAGATAGCTGGTGACCTCATTGCTCTATGAACGTATTGCAAAAAACAGGAAAAAAGTTTAAATGATTTTGACCCAATATCTCTTTAAATGGTGGCACAGTGAAAAGAGGGAAAAAGAAGGAAGGAGATTGTAAATGTGGCAACGTCAAAATAGTTATGGTCAAAACCTTTCTGCTTTTTACACTGAAGACACTTTGATAAATTTGACACTGTGTTGAAATCGACATGCTGGGACATTTCTTTACTTTCTTTACTTTCTTGTTAATGTCACTGCTTTTGAACTGGGAAATCCAGGTTTAAATTCCAGTCTGGCCGCCTCATCAGTCAATGTCTTTGAGCAATAAACCTAGCGATATATATCTGCCTTCCTTAAACCCTCCTAGATTGTAAGCTCATTTTAGCCAGGTCTTCTTTACCTCTAAATAACCCCTTTGTATAATTGGAATGCGCCGAGGCATAGGTCGGTGCTATATAAATGCAAATAACAATGCATAAATATATAAACTATATAAGTGAAGTTGCAAAAAAGTTCAATTTGAGCAAAAAAATTCATCTATTTTTCTCAATTATTTACAATTTGTTATTGGCACCAGTTGTTCTCACATGTTTTTGTCAGAGGCTCAAACTATGTGCTTGTCACTTTTTGGGTGGCTCTTTCTTCAACTTTAAAATTTCCTCACTCACCCAATATTCCTCTGTAATAATATTTACTACAATGCAATCTATTCCACACATTGCCCTCAGTGTCAGAGGGGGTTCCACTGCACGTCAATAAATAATTTATAATGGGAAGACGGTAGTGGCATGCTTATTATAATGTGCTTGTTCTTAGACCCTCTGATATAGAATGGAGTACCAGTTTTAGGGGCAATACTTTACTAAACCATGAATTGTTGGAAATTGACCAATAAATTGTACATTTTAAGCTCAATAACCAAACTGAAACAAAATTGCCAAGTCAGTTATGTTTCCAGCTTGGATAGTTTGGCTTAGAATTTACATCTATCTGATGAGTTGCAGTCAAGTCACAGTTTAGTAAATATAGTGATCCTGTAGTCAGCACTGCTGCAGGGTTTGTTATTCAATGAGTCTTCACATATAAAGCGGAAATGTGCATCAAGGTTTCATAATCAACTTTCACACATCACATCGGAGTTCATTGTTTACGCCATATGACACATCGGAGACTCAAATGAACTCGTGTACCTTTCAGAGGTGAGATTGGGTAATAGACTTCCTCACACCTGGCTCTCCTAATCCCATCACTCACTGGGAGAGAATATCATATGTTGTCAGAGATTAGCCCAATTGTATCAGAGCATCGGCCACACAGACTGAAATAATAATGGTTTGTGTTTAAAGATTTTTTTTGCTTCTGTTTAGTTTTCATTCGACACCCAGGACTAAGATGCAACTCACAGAATACTGACACACTAACGCACTGCTTTGGACAACAAAGGACTCCATTTAATATTTCTGGATATTTTCAAACAACGTAGTATTTTTGGATAAACGTTTAAAATGATTTTCTTCAAACTATATATATATATATAAAACAATTATTAAAATAGTTTTTCAAATATTAAATCATTTAAAAAGTTTACCCAAAAATATCAGATCAAGGCCATAAGAAATTATTTTACTATCAATTATACAAGATGCACTAGTGCTTTACTTTTATTAAGAGAACATATTCGCCTTATTCCCATTGTGCATCCTACTGCCTTCTCTTCAGCAGGTAAACGGTGCACACAAACCCGGCCACCCACCTGATCTGATAGACAATGTGATGGATCAGACCAGGCAACCTTCTTCCATTGCTCCATGGTCCATTTCTGACACTCATGTTCTGATCTAGCCATCACTGCCTGGCCCTTGTCATAGTCACTCAGATCTTTTCGCTTGCCCATATCTCCTGCTTCCGAAACATGGCAATCAAGAACTGACTGTTCACTTGCTGTCTAATATATCTCACCCTTTGACAGAAGCCATTGTAACAATGTAATCAAATTTATTCAATTCACCTGTCAGTGGTTTTAATGTTGTGGATGATCAGTGTATTTAACGATAAAAAAATATTAATGTTGTGGCTGATCAGTGTATAACATCATTTGGATTTTTTCCTCTTATAATGGTCCGTGAAATGTACTAAACTTTGATAAGCTGAATTTCATTACTGTAAAAAAAATGCAATAGCATCTGTATATTTATCACAGCAACTGTAGTGCTAGTCTGGGGCAAACCGTTAAATGCTAAGAGGCATTCTACAGGTTTCCATGGTGATTCTGCACTTTGCCGCAGAATCGCGTGTGTTTTATCCATATAATAATGGCACTATGTATAACATCATTAAAGGAAGGCGTGTATAACTCGGGGGCCCATGAGCCACATGTGCCCCTGAACTGCTTGTAAGTTTGCACAGTTGCTGCCAGGGCTGCCGGCAGCGAGGGAGCCCATTACTAACTATGTTCTTTCTGCACAGCTCCCTCGTGCACCCAGCAGTGACCTGGCAGCTGGGAAACTATGTAATCTCAGCATCGGCATCACTACAGGGAGTGCGAGGGATCTGTGCAGGAAGAGCACAAAGATGCCAGAGGAAACCACTGGCCACAAGGGAGAGGCTCTACTCCAGCCCCCCAATTGCAAAGTATTGAGCCTGGGTGGACCGCTTAATTATTAAATGTGTTTGAATATGATTTTTGTGTGTATGCCAGTAATTATGTGTGTATGTAATTGTGTGTCTCTGATTGTGTTTGTGTAGGTCTCTGATTATGATTGATTAGTGTGTGTCTATGTATGTGATTGTGTGTATAGGTCTGTGATTGTGTGTGTGTGAGTCTGTGATTGTGTAGGTCTGTGATTATGTGTGATTTTGTGTGTGTGTGTGTACATCTGTGATTCTGTATATAGGTCTGTGATTGTATGTGTACGTGTGTGGGTCTGTGATTGTGTTTGTGTATTTCTGTGATTATGTGTATTATTGTGTGTATATATGTGTGTGTATATCTTTGATTGTGTGTATGTCTATGTATATGTGTGTGTTTGTGTGTATAGGTCTGTGATTGTATGTGTGTGTGTGGGTTTGTGATTTTGTGTGTGTGTGTGTATATCTATGTGTGTGTATATATGTGATTATATGTATGTATGTGATTGGTTGTGTGTGTGGGTGTGTGTGTTTTTGTATAAACTTGTGTATGAAACATAGAAACATACAATGTACGGCAGATAAGAACCATTCGGCCCATCTAGTCTGCCCAATTTTCTAAATACTTTCATTACTCCCTGGCCTTATCTTATAGTTAGGATAGCTTATGCCTATCCCACGCATGCTTAAACTCCTTTACTGTGTTAACCTCTACCACTTCAGCTGGAAGGCTATTCCATGCATCCACTACCCTCTCAGTAAAGTAATACTTCCTGATATTATTTTTAAACCTTTGCCCCTCTAATTTAGGACTATGCTTAGTAGATAGCTCCCTAATTTGGTATCCTTAAATATGGCAAATCCCACAGAAAGATAAAAAAGAAATACGGGAGTTATCTACTAAACACATGAAATATTCAAATTAATTAAAAAAGAAAAGGGATTTTGATGTTTTATTATATAAATGAATTATATTAAATATTTTATGTGCAGTTCGAGACAATTGCTCTTTGCTAAATGTGGTCTGGAGAAGCCAAAGGTTGGACACCTATGATTTGAAGCCTTTTTCATTTAGAACATTTAGAATCTATCAGATATACAGAAATTGAGAAGTTTCCTTTGGGAAGTGTTTGGGCGAGTTGTGTTTTCTTTTCTTATTTTCGTTTACTTTTCTTTTTACGTATTAAGCCGAATTCACGTTGCCTTGCACATATTTTCTAATTTATGTTTTCCTTGCCCATAAAAAATACAGTTCCATACATTGTATAAGACTCATGGCTCCAACATGTTGAAATTTGAGCTGTATTTGTTTACAGAACGCCTGCAGGGCATATTGGTGAAGGACTAGAGCCCTTACAATATGTATGTATCTAGAATTACAGGTAGGTGCTGTCATGTTACTCAGGGTGAGGACAATCCCTGCAGGGAGAATAAAAAATGCTTGTATAGAAATGTTACGTTCTTAACGGCAGCTCTCGTGAAAATGTAGCTTTTGATACTTTGTATTATAATTATTTATTATATTAACATATGATCCTTACTGTCTTAGTACGGTAAAGAATGCCTACAAGCTCTCATCTATCACACACGCATAGAGACAAATGTGTTAAAAATAACATAACAACAACAAACCTTAAAGAGACACTGTAGCGCACAAACCTGTATTCCTAACGCCTTAGTTTCCTAGTCCCTAGTTAGTTTAGAGAACACCCCCACCCCAACCGTTTGCAATACAAATTGTTCAAAAATTGTTTTTACTTTTTCCAGTGCCAAGACTCCCTCGGTTCTGATCATTTACCTGTGAATTCTTATTTAATGATATCTCAGATGGCTGATTTGTTCGGACATTGACTAGAAGGAATTTGGTTCATTTGTACTAGGCTAAGCGTATTTGATCACAGGTCTGCCAGGCACATCATAATAGTTAGTGAATCTAGTTAAGCATGTAGGTGCACAATCAAATAACCGAGAATCAATCAGTCATACAGTGTGTGCGAGGCAGAGAGTGTCTGTGTGTTTAAAAAGCTAAGAAAGAGTGTGTATGTGAAAATGCTTAAAAATATTATGTATGTGTATAAAAGGGAGGCATGGATCAAAGAGGATAAAAAATATAACAGAGAGAGATGGGGAAACAGTATGCGAGAGAGATGGGGAGACAGCATGTGAAAGAGATGGAGAGAAATGCAGAAGGCAGATGCTCATCACCTGGCAGGGTAGGATGCTGGACCAGGTAAGCAGGCTAATCACTGCACATTAAGGTGGAATATGGCCAGGCCTACAGCGGGCTGTGGTGGTTATGATGCTTGGAATGACCCACTAAATCCTTCTGTTTCTGTAGATTTGAGACTAATTGTTTCCCCAGCAGCGGTGGCTTGCGTACGTTATCAGCTCTAACAGGTTAGGACTCATTATTATTAGTAGTATTATTATTATATTTATATAGCGCCAACAAATTCCGTAGCGCTTTACAATGGGTGGACTAAAAAACATGTATATGTAACCAGACAAGTGTGACGCACAGGAACAGAGGGGTTAAGGGCCCTGCTCAATGAGCTTACATGCTAGAGGGAGTGGGGTAAAGTGACACAAAAGTTAAGGGAATTATTAGGGAAGTAGATTGGTAGCATAGTATTCAAGGGAGACTTAGTGAGGGTTTTTGTGGAGCTATTAACAGTTTAATTGAAATGATTTTCTGAAAAAGTGTGTTTTTAATAATTTTTTGAAGGAGTGGAGACTGGGTGAGCGTCTAATGGAGAAGGGAAGGGAGTTCCACAGGAACGGTGCAGCCCTAGAGAAGTCTTGAAGAGGAGCATCAGAGGTGGAGTACGAACAGAGGATAGATGCAGGTCTTCGGCTGAGCATAGGGTCCCAGACAGAACATACTTGTGTATTAGGGAGGATAGATAGGTGGGAGTAGCATTATGTAGAGATTTGAAAGCAAGAACCATAATTTTATATTGAGCCCTATATCTTACGGGAAACCAATGTAAAGACTGACATAGGGGTGAGGTGTGGGTAAGAGATCTAGTGTATGTCTGGAATGTAATGTGTTTAAGATGCAGTATGTGTGTGAGGAGTGCAGTGAGTGTGTGAGCAGTTCTGTAGCATATATACATATATGTTTGAAAGTATTGTGTGTGTGTGTGTGAGTGTGTGTGAGTGAGTGAGTGAGTGGTGCAGTGTGTATGTGTGAGGTGTGCAGTGTGTGTGTCAAGGGTGTAGTGATGGGTGCAGTGTGTGGGCCTCTCCTAACTTCTAGTAGCTTGTCACGGACAAGACGAGGTCTGGACGGTTCAATTCTGTTCGAGCTAATGGGTTACAGGTAATTGAGGCGTCTGTCTGCTGTGGGTTCATGGTTTCATATATCAAGATTTGAGGCTTTATAAGCTGAAGTTTACTCGACGTTTGCAGGAGCTACTGAAACACAGATCTGGTCATGTTTGACATCAGGCCTCGGCCCCCCTTTTTTTAGATATTTTAATATGTTGAAAGGTCTATCCAACAATAGTAAATCATGTGGAAAGCGTATACAACAATATTAAATAGAGGCCCGTGGATAAGAAGTTTTCCAAATGATTCAATGCTGTTAGAAATTTGTTTTCAAATCCGTTATCTGCAGAAGTTATCATTAAAGTATATGGGAATGTTTGTAGATATTGAATCATTTGGAGAGTTTATTAAAAAACCATGTCTACGTAAGGATACATCTGGTCTTCAACACACTATTTCCCACGAATTAGACCAACCACTGGATAAACCATCACACACAATCTACATTTTCTTATTTACTCAATGCTTTTAACAGCAACAGAATAAAAGAAAGTCAGTAGAGTAGAAGTAGTTAAATTAATTCCTACATCCTTCCTCCTCTCTTTCCCCTTCCTTTTATCCTGTCCCTCACCTCCTTTAGCAATATATTAATATACATCTCCATGTTTGGAAAGGCCCTAACTTGTTCTGCACTTCTCTGTGCCTTACATGAATCGTTCAGCATTTTAAATGAATGCATTTATTGAGGATGCTGGAGAGTAGCCCAAGCCAATTTCAATCTAATACTTATCTTTGAGAAGCATTGGGAGGTAGGGTGCCCATGTTTGGCAGTAGAACACCATGCTAGCAATGCTTCTCGTTAAATGCAATGTGTGTGCTTAAAGCAAGTAAGGAAGAGCACGTTGAAATCACTTTTATTTCCCATCAATTCTCACTTTAATAAATAACGCTAAAGATAAATTCAACGTGGATTCTACATTTTTGGCTACAACACCTCGAGTATTCTGCATCTTGGCTGTGTTTTCAGGGAATTTCATTTTGAATTCACTTTAAAATTGGGTAATAACCCTGTGGGTGTAATCTTCGGTTCTGGGATTTAGCACCTGAATTATATACGTCTATGTACGGGTCTAGTAATACAGTATTCTGTAAGTAAGAACGAATCCAATTCTAGCTTGAAATGTGCGTGCTCAATGTTTAATACATTTTATTCTGCAAAGTCCTAAGGCTATTCAGTTAAATATTTTGTACATCAACTTTTGATAATCCTTAGTGATTGCTTGACAGTTATCCGTTTTCACAGATGTGCTAAACCTAAAAAAAATGCTTCTTATTTTTATTTTTGCTTCAGAGCAAGGGAAAAGGAAAGGAACTTTTTGATCATCTGAAGGACACGGATAAACCGAAAACCAAATGTCTGGGGCCCATCATGCTAAACACCCAATAATACGACTTTGAGCATGATTAATAAATAATATAATAGGAATCATACTATAGTCATTAGGTTATATATTGTATATTAAGTTAATATTTATGCACATTTATCAAAGTGAGACTACTCTGGCCTTAAAGGAACACTGTACTCACTATAACAACTTCATATAATTGCAGTTATAGTTATGATTCCATCCTTTAATTTGCCCTGAAACGTTTTATTTTATTAGTTGGAAGGCCTGGAAATGTGGCTTCAAGTCACACATCCAAGCCTTCTGGATTGGCGAGCTCGGAATGCAAAGTCATGTTCCTCATACCCAGGCTTAGCATGATGGCACGCTCCACATTCAGAATGCCATCACGTTTTGTCATAGAGAATCATTGCACCCGTGAGTGCTGATGGCAGACTTCGTTTTTGCTCAGAATTGACATTAAACACCTGGAACAGAGTTCCGAGCTACCTAAGTCACGTGTGCCAGAGTTGCAACTAGACCTGCTAAAAAGAACAAATATCTCAGTATGTGAAGGTTTAAAAGCAGAAACACTGCACATACAAACACCGACCACCATGTCCACTAAAAACATATATGGTCATGGTGGTTGGAGTAACCCATCAAGTTTGCATTGGTAAATACACACAGTAAGGTGAAACATGTCCCCCTGTCCCCGAGTTATGGAAGTTTCCATGATAATAAAATGTACATATTTTTGCCATGGTTTTGAATTAAAGTGCTTGGCTTTAAATGAAAAGACATTGGAATAGGGGGGCGGAGCCAGCGCCTGCACAAGCTGGACGTGTCTCGGTGCAGCACCGAGAGCTTGTCCCGATTAACAAGGCTATCTCCAGCCACTAAGTTACCTACAAGGATCCGGTGGGTCTCCCTGGACTCCTTAACATATGGGGAAGAAAAGTAAAAAGTACAGAGTGGATCTGGGCTCAGGCTCCAGAGATATCGGAGCGTTAATGCATCCGACCGCGCGGCCCGCACCTTCCAAGATGACGCCGGCTGAGGCCTTCTCCACTCTATCGTTGGATTAGGACAGCCTCCAAGATCTACCTTCTACTTCATCCCAGGTATGCTCCGTGCCTCGGGCATCTCTGGAGAACGGTGATTCTGCTCCCTCTACTAAAGCAGACATACAAGCACTGTGGCAGCATATCAAAGACATGTTTCAGGCTGAAATGGCACTAGTCCGGGAGGAAGTTACCACACTCACTAGCAGAGTGGAAGCGGTGGAGGGAGACATGGAAAGCACCAAACTGGCACAATCTGCCACAGATGCTGCTCTGGGTTCATTACAGAAGAAATGTGATGAACTGACAACACAACTGGCTAGCATAGAAGACAAGGCAAAAGCAGGCAATGTAAGAATACGTGACGTTCCTGACGCTATCTCAAACACTGAATTACCCCATTACTGCAGGAGGCTTATTGCCACACTGCTGCTTCCAAAACAGGCCAAACAGCTTCTGGTGGATGCCTGCTGATGTCTCCCAAAGGCTGCCAAAGCACTCCAAGACTCACCTACGGATATATTGCTTGTTTGTACCGGACTCTGACCGAGGGGCCCTCATGGGCGCTGTTAAAGGCTCTCCCACAGTACCCTTCGAGGGTACCCTTGTGCAGGCGCTGGCTCCGCCCCCCTATTCCAATGTCTTTTCATTTAAAGCCAAGCACTTTAATAGATTATTGTTCAGTTCTTTATAGTTTATGTGTTATGCATTAGGTTTCCCATACATCTTGGCTCCGTAAGCTTTTGGCTTGCGCATTAGTCTAGCTATTAACCCCTATGTGCTCAATTTCTTGCTTTGGGTTTTGTTTGCTATTTATTATATACTTGCAGTTAAACTAACAAAAACATTTTAAAAATGAAAACTATTATCCATAAAGAAAAGTCGGCAAAGAAATATGCAAGTGGCTCTGTGTTGTTTACTATGCTTTTTTTTGTGGTTTTTGATTCAATCAACTGCAGTGTTTACTGAATAACCCTGGGTCACTTACTGTGCAACAGTAGGTAGGTCTGTGTGCTTCATGTTAGACAAAGCGTCACCTGTGCTCACGTGAAGACAATCTGAAGACAAAATTCAAACTTTATCAATAAAGACCTGATTTAAACACAGCTTTTTAAACAAAATAATGGGTTGGTGTCCTTTCCATAAGGTCTTACTGGGGTATATCTATTTCATTTCTATGTTGACTCCCCTGAGTGGAATGCTTTTCTTGACGTATTTACATATCTGTTTGTTACTTAATGGAAAAAAAATAAAACATTTAAAAAAAATCTTTGTTGTGTAAAACTCCTGCAAACCTCACTGTGCAATCTATAAGGATAACACAGCTTTAAGAACACACATAATGAACTGTTGTATTTTATGTTTCTAATCATACCCAAAAGGTCAAAACGTAACATCGTATGGTTGGTGTCTGTCAACGCAACCATATCCATGATATATAAGTATATATCATGGATTGTGATCCAAAAGGACTAATGACAGACACAAACCATACAATGTTCCGTTTTGACCTTTTGGGTATGATTATAAACATAAAATACAACAGGTCATTATGTTTATTCTTAAAGCTGTGTTATCTTTATAGATTGCACAGCGAGGTTTGCAGGTGTTTAGAGCTGATGTTGGCTTTCTGTTGAAAGCGGACTACCGAACAAAGATTCCCACCTGCTGATCCTGTGAAGTCATACTGTTAAAAGATGTATGGGATCAGCTCAGCATTGCCACAGGGAACTTATAGAACATTATAATAGGCTGAGTCACTTTCTAATCTGGTCAAAGCTTGGGAATTTACAGCAAATGTCGTAACTTCAAATGTGAGGATCTCTTTACGCCTGCAGAGGTAAATTATGTGAATTCTTTCTTTTAGACACGTGTATACGCATGAGATCAGATACTGAATTTATATAAATGGAAATAAACTCTTCACTTTGTATAATTTGATTGGTCAAACATGTTTTCTTAAAAATGCTGAACATCCTGTGAGACTTGTCTCTCTGATTCACGTGGTGGCATTGTGGGTAATAGAATGTCTGTGCAAGCTGGTTCTAAACCAGCATTTTCTCTAGAACATAGGACAAAAAGATACTTTGACCATTGTGTATCTTCACACACGGATGGTAAAATGATAAATTGTTTTCTGTTCAGGTATTAGCTATAATGATGGACGAGTTCACGGATGCTGAAATATTCTGCGACGTGCTCGAGGCTGCTAATAAGAGAAATATATTCGTCTACCTGCTACTTGAAGCCACCAAAGTCCATCTTTTCATTAAGATGTGTGAAAAATTGCAGGTTAAGGATGTCCATCTCAAGGTATGCTGTAGAGTTATATATTCCCGTATAGTCATATAATTAATAATTATGCAATATATAGGGGGTTTGGAGACTGGCAAAGCAATAATTAAAGCAGAATTTTTCAGTCTATTGGAATCCTAACTCCTTAATTTTTAATTGTAAGGGAAAATAACACTGTATTGTAATTTAGGCGATATGCATAAAGCACTGGGCTTTCAGTATTGTAGTTTATGATGATGTTTCTAATACCCATCAATGGTTTGATTTTTACAATATGATTATTTTCTATCTATATATGTATCTATATATGATATATGTATTTCCTACAAACTAATGTAGAGTTTACCGCTTGTGTATATTTACAGAATGTTTGTGTTAGGAGCGTGTCTGGTGAAGTTTACTGTGCAAAATCTGGCAAAAAATTCTACGGTCAAATCTGCGAGAAATTCATCATATCTGATTGGAGATGTGTTTTGTCTGGGACATACAGGTAGGTCCAGTTTGACATGATCTGATTATCAACATGTTCATAGATCAATAATATCCCTACATAAATTATAGGGTAAATAACCCACAAGAAATGTAACAAATCGAATTTTGTCTAAAATTTGTCTGATTCAACTATTTGGAAGCATCAGAATTCCCAAATAGCCTCAGTACGAAAACAAAACAAAACAAAAATCAATGTATCCATAATTAATCAAATTGTTTCATTTTGGATCCATTTGTTTTGATAAAGATAGCAAATTAGGGAGCTCTCTACTAAACAACGGAAAGAGCAAAATTGAGAAAAGGGTTTTTCTTAATTTTAATATTTTGGCTCTTTAGTATATAGCTCCCTAATATGGTATCCTTAAATATGGGAAGTTTTGTAGATAACTCCATGAATTGGTACCCTTATGTGGGATTGCCATATTTAAGGATCACACATTAGGGTGCTTTTTTATTTTTTATTTTTTTTTACATATTATTAAAAATCTCAATCCCAAATAAAGATAGCAAATTCGGGGCTTATTTAGTAAACGGTTGAAAGATCAGCAGTTTAGCACTTAACTCCTTTATTAGGTACTTTGTAGCTTTGTGACAACCAACATAGTGAATAATGGCAGTTAGATTTTAGGAAATTATCAACATTTTCATAGAAATTTCCATTCATCTGAATTCATATTTTCTGAATATCACATAAAACCAAAGTTTGAAAATGAATTAATCAAAACAGAACAAATCATTCCCCGTTACTGGAATGTAAATATTATTGGGTTTTATGCCACGTCCTCTCTGTTAACTTATAGATAATCCTTTTAGGCTACGCTCCAAACACTGTCCCAGATAGATCAGCAGTAAATCCCAGGACGGTTAAATTCTACAAAGTACAACATATCTTTTCTTCTATACGTTTTTCAGCACTTTGGCTTGCTCAATGTAGAGAGTAAAGTTTATTCTGTTTAAAGGATGTCATGTTGGTCATGGCAGTGGTACGTTAATACCAGAAAAATTCTATACTTTCATTGTAGCGTGGAGAAGAATAACATCTGTGACTACATAATACTTGATGACAGATATGTTGCATTTAATTTTTTGGCTTCTTTTTTTTTTTAAAAGAGCACTATAGGGTCAGGAACACAAACATGTCTTCCTGACCCAATAGGGTTAAAACCACCATCTAGCCACCCTGGTCCCCTCATACCTCCCTAAATATAGTAAATCTTACTTGTATTCAAGTCTGCAGCTGCATGCTTTGTGCCTGTTTCCTTTAGACCCGCCCACTGCCTGCTGACATCAGCAGAAGTGGTAGCCTGATCCAATATCAATGCTTCCCCATAGGATTGGCTGAGACTGACAAAGAGGCAGATCAGGGGCAGAGCCAGCGCAATTCAAACACAGCCCTGGCCAATCAGCATCTCCTCATTGAGACGAATTGAATCAATGAATCTCTATGAGGAAACTTCAGTGTCTGCATGCAGAGGGAGGATACACTGAATGTTATGATGCATTTTAGGCAGCCATGACCCAGGAAGGATCTCTAACAGCCACATGAGGAGTGGCCAGTGAAGTTATCACTAGGCTGTAATGTAAACACTGCATTTTCTCACATGGAATGGGCGTAACAGCTTTGTTACAATGTAGTCACCCATCCCATGTGTTCCCTATTAAGGGTTAATAAGTATATAGGGGTGTATATAAAAAATATCCCTCTCTGTCTCAGTGGAGATATCTTTGCCAGAAGCTCAAGGAAGCAAGGTGAAGGGTCAGTGTAGGACCCGCTTAGGGTGGTCTGCCTTGACATTGGCAGGCGGGCATTCCATCCAATGACCATTGGAGTAACTAAATGACCTCCATTTGTCTAAATATAAATAGGGGTTAAGGAGAGAGCGAAGGTAACTTTTTTCCTTTGGTTTTTAACTATATATTGGGGCTGATGTGTACTGTGGTCGTTGCTGCCGCCCAGGAGTGATGGGAGTGAGAGCAGGACTTATCTTTTTGTATTTGTATTCACTTTTTGTATCACACAGCTTAGTTACAATGCAGCCGGCCAATCCCATGTGTTCCCTATTAAGGGTTAATAAGTATATAGGGGTGTATATAAATAATATCCCTCTCTGTCTCAGTGGAGATATCTTTGCCAAAAACTCAAGAAAGCAAGGTGAAGGGTCAGTGTAGGACCTGCTTGGGGGGGGGTCTGCCTTGACGTTGGCAGGCGGGCATTCCCTCCAATGGCCATTGGAGTAATTAAATGACCTCCATTTGTCTAAATATACATAGGGATTAAGGAGAACGCACAGGTAACTTTTTTCTTTGGTTTTCAACTATATATTGGGGCTGATGTGTACTGTGGTCGTTGCTGCCACCCAGGAGTGATGGGAGTGAGAGCAGGACTTATCTTTTTGTAATGATTCTACTCACCAGAACAAATTCAATAAGCTGTAGTTGTTCTGGTGACTATAGTGTCCCTTTAAAACACACACATTTAAATGACTGAATTAAACATTCCTTCCTAAAATAAATAGACCTTATTTAAACCCTAACTACTTTTGCAAACCTGTTTACAACAACATCTTTTTAATGGAGAGCTATTGTTTCAAAGCGAGCAGATTTAATTAAACACGATCCACGCCAGAGAATGTGTAGGGCGTTTTATAAATGCACTCCCTTTTATGTCCCATCTATTCATGTGTACAGCCAGATTATTATACAATTCTCTCTTTGCCAATACGCGGGTATTGTTAATTCATACACTGGATCTTTCATGGGAGGGTCTGGGAGGGAGGGTCTGCTGCTGATTGGCTGGAATGTGTCTGCTGACTGTGAGGTACAGGGTCAAAGTTTACTCAATGATGAGTCCGCGGCGAACCGTTCGTGACGAACCGTTCGCGAACCGTTTGCCGAACCGTTCGGGACATCACTAGACCTGACCATCCCTCCAGGCCAGCATTAGCATTATCTGCTGATCCTGTCTCCTATTAAGCTGTTGCTTAGGGACTGAAATCCTCAATTTGCCTGGGAAGAGTATAGTTTGCAAGAAAGTGCAAAACAAATATTTTGTACGTATGGAATATTTTACTCTCAATTATTCAAATCAGTTCAAATCTCTAAAACTCAGATATTATAGTGAGCACTGCTGTTCCTGAGAAAATGTTGGTACTGAGAAAAGACCACACGGAATGTTACTGTATAGATTAACGTGGGTTTATGCCATTGATAAGAATCCCCATATTGCGTTTCTTCTTACCGGCTACTTTTAGATCACACCCTCTTTTCTTATTCAGTCTATTTTGACATATTTTCTATGATTCCTCACTATTGTATTGCTTTGAAAAGCTATATAATTGCTTTCATAAAACCAATAAAACCTCGTACAATAGAAACATATAATGCTGTGTTTGTCTACTGGAATATTTTCTAACTGACGGCTTTGTAAAAGGACCTTAACTGTCTAAATATTGAACGAACAGGAAATCCCACCAGTGAACATCTGCAGTATGCGATTAGTGAATATTTAGAACAAGAACAATGTACCTTATTTACACATTTCTAAACACTTTTATTGTAGTTTAACCCCTTAAGGTGTGTGACATGTCATGATTCCCTTTTATTCCAGAAGTTTGGTCCTTAAGGGGTTAAAGACACATTACTGGGAGTATTATTACTGTGGAGCTCTGTTATACACTCAGACACATTACTGGGAGTATTATTGCTGTGGAGCTCTGTTATACACTCAGACACATTACTGGGAGTATTATTGCTGTGGAGCTCTGTTATACACTCAGACATATTACTGGAAGTATTATTGCTGTGGAGCTCTGTTATACACTCAGACACATTACTGGGAGTATTATTGCTGTGGGCTCTGTTATACACTCAGACACATTACTGGGAGTATTATTGCTGTGGAGCTCTGTTATACACTCAGACACATTACTGGGAGTATTATTGCTGTGGAGCTCTGTTATACACTCAGACACATTACTGGGAGTATTATTGCTGTGGAGCTCTGTTATACTCAGACACATTACTGGGAGTATTATTGCTGTGGAGCTCTGTTATACACTCAGACACATTACTGGGAGTATTATTGCTGCGGAGCTCTGTTATACACTCAGACACATTACTGGGAGTATTATTGCTGTGGAGCTCTGTTATACACTCAGACACATTACTGGGCGTATTATTGCTGTGGAGCTCTGTTATACACTCAGACACATTACTGGGAGTATTATTGCTGTGGAGCTCTGTTATACACTCAGACACATTACTGGGGTATTATTGCTGTGGAGCTCTGTTATACACTCAGACACATTACTGGGAGTATTATTGCTGTGGGGCTCTGTTATACACTCAGACACATTACTGGGGGTATTATTGCTGTGGAGCTCTGTTATACACTCAGACACATTACTGGGAGTATTATTGCTGTGGAGCTCTGTTATACACTCAGACACATTACTGGGAGTATTATTACTGTGGAGCTCTGTTATACACTCAGACACATTACTGGAGTATTATTGCTGTGGAGCTCTGTTATACACTCAGACACATTACTGGGAGTATTATTGCTGTGGAGCTCTGTTATACACACAGACACATTACTGGGAGTATTATTGCTGTGGAGCTCTGTGATACACTCAGACACATTACTGGGAGTATTATTGCTGTGGGGCTCTGTTATACACTCAGACACACCAACAATATGGAGCTCCTAGAAAAGAGGGACATGAGGATAAAAAAGAGGGACATAGGGATTGGATCCCAAAATTGGGACTGTCCTCCTAAATTGGGACACTTGATAGGTATCCTTGAAGTATTCCCTTACTTAGAAAGATATATATATATATATATATATATATATATATATATATATATATATATATATATAAAAACTGGGGGACAATTCAAAAAGTTTGTCTGCCTCTCTTAAAACTGTACTCCTTCAACGTTTTTACCTTATCTCACCCGTTTTGTCTACATTTATCCAACACACTATAGGTTTCCATATAGTCTTCCTTTTCTAAATACATTGCTATTTATCCCTTGTGAAGTAATATCCCATTTCTCCTGGATTGTAATATGGTTTGAGCAGCATTTACAACTCTTGTTTGTGTTCGCCTTCTTTGTTACTATGCATTTGATTTGTTAGTACATCCATTGTGCTGAGCCATGTAATATCCCAACGCTCTATAAATAGTGAGAGCATTACTGCCAATTTAGCTCCGCCCCTAGCGCCAAACAGACTAGAGTCAAAACTTATAATTTCTTTAATCCGCTTTATCATATATCTTTATAGAAGAATCTTTGCCTGAATTCACTATGTGATATGTCACCATAATAGCGAAGAATTAGTCCTACATTAAAAGCAATGCCCTAGAGAGACACATTAATGTTTGTAAAAATGTAGGTGCAGCCTTACTTTCTAAAGGTATAATTACTGAGATTAAAAAAACGTATAAAATTCATTCATAATGGGGCTTTAATTATCTTTAATAGAAAAGCCCGGGGTAAATATGCTCCCTTTCTATACTTGCAATTTTACAATTTTGAAAGTCCAATATGTTCCAGTTCATCCGATTCTAAGAAACAGGAGCGTTTATTGTTCCAAGATATTGGGAGTTACCAGGATTATCTGAAGATATTGAGCTATTAAAACTAAGAAGAATGAATATATATGAGTGCTATTGAGGGTTCCGCATATTAATAATGGAGGGTTCCCTAAAAATTATGTTTAGAACAAATAGTGTATTTTAATGCTAATACTTCTATGTTATACAATGATTGGATTAATATATAATAATAATAATAATAATAATAACAAAACAATACATTACATCATTTACATTTGGAAATGCTGTTAAGAGGGTGATTATTTGAATGGTATCAATCATATATAAAAAATACAAAGAAAAATAGTTGGTTAAATGCTGAAATGTATTAATATTCTGAAATTAACAGATATAGCACTCTTTTATGCAGTAGTTTACTTTTTTAAATCTTTTTTTTTTCTTCAAAAGACATACAGATATTCTGTCTGTATTCAATTCCATAGAAAATTCTTATATTCTGCTTAGAAATAACTAAAATGAAATTTGACAGATAACGTGAACGTAGGCAATGATATTACAGCTCTGATATATATGGATGATGATAAGGAGGGTGGAGTAAGATTTCAGTAATAATTACCACTTTTTGTTCATTTACTACTAGATGTAAATCAATTTATTAATAAAATATATAGCTCTTATTACATTTTCAAATTCCCGACACATATTCACAATGTAGACGTATGTTTTGCACGTTGGCAGACATCAAGTTAAAACACATTGTACATGCTAATGTGTTCTTATAAAATAAATGACACTCTCAATCGTACAGTTAATTACTCTATTTCTCTTGTGTGTTTTTTTTTCTCTTGTTTCTCTATTTCTTGTGTCTCTCACATCTGCGACAGCTTCAGGATAGTCACTTTGAAAGATAATACTAAATAATCTGTAAAGAACAAGGGATATCCAATCCATCAATGAACTGAGGTATAAACTGTTACAAAAATGAATTTGTCAGTTGATTGTGTGTGTGTGTGCATTTTACGTTGCCCAAGGTTAAGGTTACATTTCTAGAAAGCAGGTCACTTATCAGTGAAAGGTTTCTTGACAATGACAGACACATCTTTTAAAGAAAGTTATTTGAGGTTTCCAAGGCAGAGAGCCCCGGGCTCTAGGAAGATCCAGACATTCTAACCTTCTGTTTGAATGAGGGTCATTTGACAACTACATTAATTATCCATTTTGCAACCCCAACGGAAAAGTTTAACCCACTCTAATAATGGGCAAAATATTTGTATTTCATCTTTTAAGTAGTACACATGGAATAGTTTAATGATGGGGAAAATATTTGCATTTTATATTTAAAGAGTTAACATCTCTGTACCATCTCTGTGAGGTGATTACTGTTAATGTATTCAATATGGTAGGTACAACTATTTGTCTATTACATAATAATAATGATGAAATTAATATAGCATTAACAGCGTTATTTGACTGGAGGAGTTTAAAGTCCTCCATCAACACTGGATTTTCCAGCAGTTAAACTCAAGATTGACATTTGGACGCCAGTTAAACCTTTGATAATGTGTGTGACATACGACAAACAGAGGATATGAGAACACCGATGACAATATGAAACTATAGCTTGACCTTCAATTAGTCCCCGCTCAGATCTCAAACAAGTTAATACTCATATGTACCATTAAAGAGAGAACATAGGCCTGTTCCATATCAGACAGATTCCACCCATAAGATTGGACCTGATACAAAATATAACTCTTTCTGCTCGAGATATACAGTAATCCCAGATAACCATATCTTCTTATATCTTCTATTTGGTTTTGTTGCAATGCATTTGCTTAGGGTCTCTCTAAGTTGAAAGGGTATTCCAGACATTGGGCCCATGCTCACTGTGTCTAGAGGGGTATCAGATATGCCTCAGTGATAAGGCACAAAGAATACCAAAACACTTGTCTAGAGTTGCTGTATGTCAACTGTTGAGGGAGCTTGCTGGCATTTCGGATCTGTACCACCCTTGTGGATAGGATCAGTCTGATAGGTGACAGGCATAGTTTCTTCCTATATTGGCATATATGAGCAAGAACTTGTCGAGACCTGTCAAGACTAACTGAAGGGAAACATATTAAGTATTTTCCAGTTCACTCTGTTCTCAAATCTTCTGTTTGTTTGATTTAACCCATGTGACAGAATTTTTAACCCACGTACATGACTTTATCCTTTTCTGCTCCCTTGATGGTCGTTCTATTTATTCCTTGATGACTGCCTTTATATTTTGGCCAATCGGCACTGAACTCAAATATTTTAGGTAGTAAATGGGTTTTTAAAATGATATTCCAATGCTCTGCATAATTGGCTCAGGAATTGTGTTTGTGTTTTTGTCTCCCCTATGTTTTGACTCTTCCCATGTGTTTAGAGGTAACCTCACCAGGGATATCAGTGAGATAGTTCAGTGGATAGGACACTAGCTATAGTATCTTGGAGTCATAGTTTCAATTACTGCAGCCGTTGATCTGTCCAAAGTCAAAAAATAACAAAAAAACAATTGCAAGACTGTTCACTCCAAATAGAAGAATAATATAAATAAGAAAGAAAAACTTTATTTGAATAATAAAAAAGACAGGAAATGTGACAATACTTATCTATCTCTTAATGATCCATGTAGGGACAGATAAGTAAGCATTGCCACATATTCCATATTATTTTTCATTTTTCATATCATGTTGATAAAATATGTACCCAGTAAGTTGGATAACACCACTTGACCACTGGATATACTTGGAAACTAGTGTCAAGTTTTATGTACCTTTACTAGTTAAAGCAGCTCTATTACCTTTTGGGATCTTTCCATCATTTGCCAAGACCCCCGATGGTGTCATCACCCCTTAGTGTCTGAATGGATGGGGAAGGTATGTTTTACTTACCTGAAGCTGTCCCTAATGGCCACTACCATTTGTTTCCAATGGATCCTCTTAATCTCCTGGTGTTTCATCTGCCAGGAGTCCACGTCAGTGCTGTACTCTTACACATGCACGAGAGTGCAATAGTGAGGCCTATAGGGGATCCTGCAAGACCACTGGGGCCTCCATAAATATTGTGGCAATGAGCAAGACAATGGCTTATTCCCTCCATAGTCCCTACTTTGTCACATGTATATTAGGAGAATAAGATTTTAAAAGTAGCACAGATTATCAGTGAGGAAGAGAAGAAGGTAAGCATAGGGTGATCAAGCTTTAAATACTTTTATTTTTTATTTTACATTTACTTCTTAATATTTGACTATCCCAATTAATTTATCATCAGATATCACTTGACTTTAACAATGATTGTTGAGATAATTATCTAAATTACATCTTGGGTTGTTCTCATTGTGATACAGAGCATGTGAAAGCTGGCACGAAGACTGATTATTACAATTGGATATTTCATGCCTCGCTATCATTTTCCAAAGCATTACCCTTCAATTAACTTGTCAGATCCAATAGTTCACTCCTTAACTGAGTGACAGGAACTTGCAGAAAACTTATGAAACTTGGCAAACAAGTTTTTTTTTCTTTTAAACTTACAAACATGCAGTTTCATGCAAGTGACAAATTAACCTTATCATCATATACAAAGGATAGGGTTGTTACCATTTGGATAACTGAGGCTTCTTACTAGAAAATGTCTATAGTGACACAAAGACAGCAATATAACACCTTCGTCACAATATCCAACTGCAATATAATTGTAGACTGTGTTACACTGGAGGGTTTGTTAGCTAAAGTTTTGGATTTTTTTGCCCTTAAATCTGTAATTCTATTAGAATTTTCTTGGGATTCCAGACCGTCAAACAAAGCAAAACTTAATGTATGTATGAGGTGAGAGGCAATGTATATTAACAATAAGATATGGGTTTCTGCAGCATGGAGGGTTTGCTCTACAGCTTTTTACTCAAAGTCTCAAATATGTTACAATCCATTTCAACACATTGTCTTTCTTTAGCAGAATTAGTCAGTGGGGCAATACATTTTATAAATGCAATATGATGTCTGGTTCATGGCGATGGGGAATTTTGTGTTGCTGGGGCCCAATATCTCACTTGCGTTTCCAGCTTGGCTGAAAATCTTGGTCATAGTTTTCCTCTTTTTTGGAAGTTGTCAGACTGTATCCATCCACAGGAATAACATAATGACACCTACTCCTATCTGTTAGTTGGATACAATAGAAAAAGATATATATGTCAAAAATACAATAACATTGTAAAAAAGACAATATCACTGTAGACGACAAATTTAATCTAAGGGGGATTTTGTTTGTGATGATGACACTTGAATAATGTGATACAAGGTAAGATTTATTTTAATTAAACAATTATTAATTAGGATAGACTAATGAAACCAATATAATGATCAATAACCCATGATCAGCCAGATCAATACAATCTCTTTCAAATGTAGAAAAACATATCTTTATCTTCTCTGGTCAGGGGTGGGTAAATACGACCTTCGGGTTTCTTCACTTCCCATAATTCTGTGCAGCCAATGAATCCACGCTTCTTTTATAACATCAAGACAATGTTTAGAATGGTAAAAGAGAAAAAGATGAAAACACATTAATTGGAACAGACAAAATTTGAGAAAGAAATACAATTAGCCATTCTTCAGAGATTTCTGAAGAATCAAAGAAAATCAGTTCAGAGCTTAAAAACTGCAAAACATACAACAAAGAAAGGATTATTTAATTGATGGTTTTCATAATTCCTTAGCTCCAGTTTAATGAACAGATCATAACTGATTCCTGTCCTGAGTATCCATTTAAAGGATATAACGTGCCATAGAAATAACCTGCAATGACTGATTTAGCAGGTAGCAGGGGTAAATGGCCTATGTCAGTGTGTAGAACAATTGTAACAAAATAGCAATTATTTGCAGCATTCCATTGGTTTCCACAGTGATTGCTCTATGTGTAGTATTTTGTTCCAGAATTGCTCTTCGCAATGTGCTTGCAGGTTCGTAGCTATGCAGCTCGTTTGCTCCATTCGGGAATTTCATGCATTATGTTTCCCTCTGTTTATTTGTCACGTTTCTGATTTGTCAAAATGTTGAGTCTAGTTAATAATGTCTCAAGAATCTAGCATATATAATAGTATATTTTCTATTTGGCTCCAATTATCTTATCAGGTTAGGATCGAAGGACAGGTTAAAGATTCCCTATGAACTCGCTTGTTATGCCACAAAATTATGGGGTGCGTAAGGCTTCTTATTAGTTAGCAATTCCTTGACTTGCTTGAAAGAGTTTATGCAATCAAGAATAATGATCAAATTATGACACTCATTAGGGAGAGTGTTTTCACATGAATGTGATGCAATCTCACTTTTTTGTTTTTTTAATCTGACGGCTCTTGCGTGTTTTATCTCTTTATTTTAAAACAGGTGTAATTTATGGAGCCAGCAGTCAAAGAAAATGTTTTCTTGGCACCAATGCATATTTATTATGTGAACACTGGAAAGGGTGGCACTAGTGAGTGCCAAGTTTGGGTGTATCTTCTCAAACTGGCATCCTCATCAGGCATTTCTTTTAGATTCTCAGCTAATTTGTATTAGCAGGTGTATAATGTGACGGTAGAAAAACATACCATATCTTACAAAGTGGAACTGCTGATGACTATTTTTTTATTGAATGTGGTTCCTCAGTCTAGGTTGGATTTGAGTCACTTTCCCTCTCAGTGTACAACTGACCCATTGTTGTAGGTTATACTGCCCCCTTTAAACTTTAGGGGCACTTTAATTTTGCAACTGTATGCCCTCCTGCTCAATGAACTCTGGATCCACTCATCGACCCTTAGGACACTGGCCACAACTGTCCATGAAGCCATGAGTTAAGGGACAGTGTGCTTCTGCATCCTGAAGAAGAACCTTTGGACCTACCCAGGGCCGGATTAACATAGGGGCTGATGGAGCTGCAGCTCCAGGCCCAGGCCCATGGGATAGGCCCATTGATTTATTAAAAAATAAAAAATAAAAAATATTTTTTTAAATAAAATTTTTTTTTCACACACTACTCTTAGGGATTCCACCTGGCTTTTATTTTATTGCCACAGCCAGTATTTGAGGCTGCCTGGCTGGTGCCATTATTACAGTGATACTGGCAATACAAATGCTGGTATTTTTCTCAGTATAAACAAGAGATTACTATGCAATACCAGCACTGGCCAGTAGGGGTCGCTGTGAGTGGAGACAGGCAGGGATAGGAAGTTCCAGCATATCCCTCTCTGCCTATCTATACTCACTGATCTGCAGGGGTGCAGCTACAGAGAGTCCAGACAGCAACTCCCACCCTGCAGAGACAGCCTACAGCTCAGGGAAGTAAGGGATGGGGGGAAAGGCTGCAAGGAGACATGGGTACACTGAGACACTAAGGGACATTGGGAGACATTATGACACAGACACATGGGGACACAGTGTCCCCATGTCTCCCAGCCAGTGTCCCTGGTGTCTCAGTGCCCCCTAGTCTCCCAGTGCCCCCAGTCTGCCAGTGTCTCACTGTCCCCATGTCTCTTAGTGCCTCAAGTGTCTCAATGTCCCCATGTCTCCAAGCTAGTGTTCCTAGTGTCTGTGGCCCTGGTGTCTCCTTGTCCCCATGTCTCCCAGTGCCCCCATGTTTCATTGTCCCCCAGCCAGTGTCTCTAGTGTCTGTGTCCCCATGTCTTCAAGTGTCCCCTATTTTCCCAGTGTCCCCATGCATCCCAGCCAGAGTCCCCTAGTCTCTCAGTGTCACTGGTGTCTCCGTGTCCCTAGGTCTCCCATGTCCTCAGGTCTTCCCATCTTCCTAGTGACATGGGGACCCTGGGATACATGGGGACACAGAGAGACATGGGGCATTGAGACACTGTGATACATAGGATCACTGGGAGACCTGGGGACACGACACTAGGGGACACTGGGAGACATGGGGCACTGAGACACTGATACATAGGAACACTGAGACCTGGAGTAATCGACACATGGTGGCACTGGGAGGAATCCATCTATACAGCAGAATCAAACTAAGTAGTTTTTTGGTGATTTTACAGCATTTTCTCTTATATCACTCCTTGTGATTTACATCATATGATGTCACCCATACATATTTAATTATGCAAATTAGCAAGGGCGGTATGTTTTTCCAAGAAAGATGGCAACCCTAACTACTTTTCACATACTCTTATTTAAGTATGGAAACTTAAGAGGGATGGATGGGAACAAAACTTGTGTGGACTGGCTGACAATGAATATAGTTAAAGGGACACTAGAGTCACCAGAACAACTACAGCTTGTTGAATTTGTTCTGGTTAGTAGAATCATTACCGTCAGGCTTTTTGCTGTAAACACTGTCTTTTCAGAGAAAATGCAGTCTTTACATTACAGCCTAGTGATAATTTCACTGGCCACTCCTTAGATGGCTGTTAGAGATCCTTCCTGGGTCATGGCTGCCTAAAATGCATCCAAACATTCAGTGTCTCCTCCCTCTGCATGCAGACACTGAACTTTCCTCATAGAGATTCATTGATTAAATTCATCTCTATGAGGAGATGCTGATTGGCCAGGGCTGTGTTTGAATCATGCTGGCTCTGCCCATGATCTGCCTCTTTGTCAGTCTCAGCCAATCCTATGGGGAAGCACTGTGATTGGATTAGGCCACCACTTCTAATGATGTCAGCAGACTGCTTGTTTTCCTGAGTATAACAGCATGCAGAGTTACAGCTCCAGGCTTGAATACAGTAAGATTTTGCTATATTTATGGAGGTATGAGGGGCCCAGGAGGGGCTAGATGGTGGTGTTAACACTATAGGTTAATGAATTCATGTTTGTGTTCCAGACCCTATAGTGATCCTTTAAGGTAATGCTGACTTTGGTCTCTCTAACACTGTGGCATGTTCCTTTTCTTCTACACTCACTACATACGGCTTTTCTCTTTCCCAAACTATATACCAGGAGCTTCTGCCTGCTAGTAGGAAGGTAAGGAGACAAGTGGACCAGCAAGTGCTAGGGGACAGTCCTTAGAAAGCGTTGAGCGAGCGCATCATTAGATGCATTTATGCCAAGCTCAGGGTGCTGTCTGCATAGTATGCCCTTAGTTGGCCAGCTGCATGATTGGCAGGCAGCCTGGCATGCATTCATACCAGGCTGGCCTTCTAATTCTTTGGGCAGACATATCCTCTTTTTGGGCATGTTCGCCCCTTTTGGCAGGTTACGTGATTTGTGTCAGTGGCACACCCTTTTACCGTGCCCATTGACTTCCTGCTTGATTGGACACTGCTGTTAGGGGTTATGGATTTACTTGAAAGATGAAAACATAAATTAGTGAGAGATTAGCCTAGGGTATGTGTTTTCTTATAGCTGCTGTTTTCTTTCTCTCCAGCACCATCTCCATCAGATACATGACGCTTGGGAGTGTTTTACTGTTTTTGGTCGATATGATTCTGTAATAAGGCCCGTCATAATTGTCAGCACCAGGCCCACTGGGCTCTTAATCTGGCCCTGGACCTACCCATCTATAGGCTTGTATGTATGTTGACGATGGGACAACATTTTTAACTATAAACTGAAGCACCTCCATAATGAAAGTTGGTGTGGTGCAAACTATGACCTGCCTGATATCTAATTGCCTTTAGCATCTGTATGTGGCCAGGAGACCCAAGATTCACCTTTGGTATTACACAGAAATGTCCAGATAACAGGTTATATAAATGTGCAATATACTGTAGCAAACTGTCTACAACTTTTCATTTGGGCAGGCTGCAGTCATTAACTTAATTCAGTTAATTAAACCAGGATTACAGGAACCTTCATAGGTCGGTTGTTATTTTCACTCTTGTTCTCGTCAGTCACTTGAGATGAATGGCTTCTTGCCTTTGGTCACATTTGCAATCCCCTGTGTAGATTCTAATCTAATAATTTCTCATTTTTGTTTTGTGTTTGGTTGCTTCCAAAGTGGACCATCTTGAATTTAATAGACTAACCCGTATGTCATCGTCAACCCTCGGGTCGAGAGTAATGTAAACATTACCAATGAAGAACTGGACATATCTCTAAGATCAGGCTTTAGGGTATATGTGTGTAAATGCCAGGGGTGCTGTCAGTAAGATTATGCACTTTCATGTCAACTTTGTTCCTACTTGTTCATAATTATCATTCACTGCCGGAAAACATTCTGTGATTATTGTCCTGCATTCCAACGCAGTTAATCAGCATGATCAGAAGATCACAGCCCTGCCCTTTAAATTACCGCGGGGGTACTGAATATAAACAAAATGCACACCCTGAAATCAGAATTTTTTTTCTATTGGGATAAAGTTTTACTACAATCATTACAGATTGGTAAACTGATATACAATATTTCCATGCGCTGTGGACCACAGATTTTCAAATCCATCTTAAAGGGAACTGTTAGAAGTTATCTATTTACCTATATTTTTATTGTATACATTGTTTTAAATCAGAGAGAGGCATGGGTTCAAATATATTATCAAAATCAGTATTTATATAATTATATTTTTTAACATGTCATACGTAGCGTGGCTTCTAAAAGAGGTCTGTTCGTCTGCACACATAATTCTGAATCTTAAAAAAACTTGTGATCCACCTGATGTCTGGTTAATTTCCCCTGCTAAATATCATCAATTTATTGACAAATACAAAACTATATACATTTTCTGCAAGTTTTTCAACTTTTAGAAGGCGTTGTACCCCCCAAAAAAAATTTCTTATGCAAGAAGTTTGACATGAAAATCTCAGAACTTAACATAATTTTTTTTGTGAATAAACTCACTGTGAAGGAGTTAATCCTGTAGTTTGTTTATGTCTCAACTAACTATACAAACTTCAGAGAAATATATGCTATATAGTCTGTTTGTTTAAAGTAAAACTGTACCCTCTATTGGTCTGAATAAACTAAACACACCTGCCTTGTCCTCCTTGTTCAGATTATTCTAAGGCGATTTCCTATTCGAATAATATGTTCTCCTCATCTAATTGTGTTTCGACATTATTATGAGGTCAGTTCACAAAACAGTAACAAGGTTTTTCACTAAATTGAGGATTCAATGTGAATTCAAGGTACATTTCAAATTTAAGGACAAAGTATTCAAATTACAGTAAAGCATGGCTGAGTTAGAGAATGTTTCATTTTCAGCTAGTTTGACCTTAAATTTGAAATTCACTTTGAATTCTCCCTTTAGTGTATAATTTTGAAAAAAATCCTCCTCTTCAGAAAAAACTATGGACTCCCACAGCTGTCATTATTTACTCATCTTAGTTAGTGGGTCCCCAGATTTTTTGTGGCTGTCCAATTATAGCCCAATGCATCTGAATGAGTAGTCATTACAAGGCAGGTGCTCTGGGCAATTCCTGCTTCTTGAGTGCAGTTCCACTGAGCTAACCAAACCAGGAAGTAACAGGACCAATTGACTGATTGACACCTGTTGGTTGGGTTGGGAGGGGGTGGGGGTATTTTGTAACTCAGGATTTTTTACCTAAATTGTTCAAATTGTGTTTCAACTCCGTAAAGCTTTCTGACTGGCAAATAGACTTTTTTTTTTGCTGTCATAAATGTTTTCCTTTATATTCAGCAGCTAAACTCACTCAGGTTATGTAATTATTTATCAAGTAATTATAAGAAGTCGCAAAGAATCGACAAACACAGAGCAATTTCGACACTGCATAATGCGGGCACTCCTTGTCTCATTGAAGTGCTGGGACATACGTGATTTCTTGGTGCTATGCTTTTAGGCAGACGTTGATATCTGCAGCTGCTATCATTTTAATTAAAGGGACACTATAGTGACCAGAACAACTACAGTTTATTCAATTTGTTCTGGTGTGTAGAATCATTACCTTCAGGCTTTTTGCTGTAAACCCTGCCTTTTTAGAGAAAATGCAGTGTTTACATTACAGCCTAGTGATAACTTCACTGGCCACTCCTCAGATGGCTGTTAGAGATCCTTCCTGGGTCATGGCTGCCTAAAATGCATCCAAACATTCAGTGTCTCCACCCTCTGCATGCAGACACTGAACTTTCCTCATAGAGATTCATTGATTCAATTCATCTCTATGAGGAGATGCTGATTGGCCAGGGCTGTGTGAATCATGCTGGCTCTGCCCCTGATCTGCCTCCTTGTCAGTCTCAGCCAATCCTATGGGGAAGCATTGTGATTGGATTAGGCTACCACTTCTGATAATGTCAGCAGACTGCTTGTTTTTTTGAGGCAAACAGCATGCAGATCTACAGCTTCATGCTTGAATACATTAAGATTTTGCTATATTTATGGAGGCATGAGGGACCCAGGGGGGATAGATGGTGGTGTTAACACTATAGGGTCAGGAATACATGTTTGTGTTCCTGACCCTTTAGTGATCCTTTAAGCCTTCTCATGATAATTATATTGCTTGCATAAAGGAGCTGAGGAGACAGATACATGCAACTCTTCTTCCTAGCTCCTCTCCTGAATCTAATGGGAGAGGGGTGAATTTATAGCAGCAGATGTAACAGAAATTTAACCGTAGCTATGTTAAAAGATACTAAGAATAATGTACTGAAATAAAATATATATATATTTGAATTTCATCCTTATTTCTCTGTACATAATTAGTTCATATAAAAATTCAAAGATTGTTTATTTGTTTTATTTAATTCCAGTTTCACATGGCTCTCGGGTCAAGTTCATCGGAATTTCTTGTCCAAGTTTTCCGGACATGTGGTGGAATTGTTCGATGAGGAGTTCCGACATCTGTATAGCTCATCCAAGCCAGTGATGGGTTTAAAGACACCAGCACCAATGGCACCTGTATTAAAGCAGCAAAACAGTAAGAGCACAGAATATTTAATTATTAGTCATTTTTATATATATATTTATTCGGGATACTTTCAAATATTGTAGTTTCCTACTAAAATAACATGAAGATTCGCTGGGAACACGACGTGTAGATTTAATTGTGTGATTGCAAATGATGTAAAGCTGTCGAAAGACACAGTTCCAAACATTTTAACTATCACAATACAATTTATTTGGCTTTAAGCTATCGTTACCGTGGCTTTCTTTGGTGACACCTCTTTAGTTTTTTAAATGTATCTTCCCTCACTGATTCACCGGGCTTCCACCAATCAGCATCTCCTCATAGAGATGCACTGAATCAAATTAAATTAGGAATAAATAGAGGAAATGTATGCATTTTAATTAAGAATACTTTTATATATATCTATTCCTATTTTAAAAAAACAAAACATTTTTGCTGATCAATTATGAGGCACCTGAAATTGAATTAAAGAGTCAGAAACCGACCGATAAGACACTTGAGGGGCGGACATCAGACTAGTGACTAAAGATCAGCAGGCGGAAACATAGCCGGAAAAGACTCCCAGTGGCATATCACGGACAAGACAGGGGCTCCCCGACCACAATACATGAGTAGCAGCCTCCATGGACTTGGCCCCACTAGGCTTGTACCCACCGTTACACAATACCCATGTTCCACCGTGATCATGAATAACTGTAAACCTGCAAGATGCCCTCCGGCACTAATGTTTTACTAATGATGTCAACGCTGTTACCTTTATTATCACATGACGGTTTATATATGTCAAATATTGTTTTGTATACCACTGTCTACCACTCAAGCGAAAATAAAGAATGGAAAAAATAAATAAATAAAGAACCAGAAACCGTAGCTCATCCATATCTCTTTGTTTCATATAATTCCAGGTATTAGTATGATGTCCGACAGCAGTTCTGCAATCAGCCCCAATACGACGTCTGAAAAGCTCAGTGGTTCTTCTGCAACGAGCATCTCCCATGTTTCGCTGCGCCCGTCATCTCCAATAAACATCCCACCACCTCTACAGCAATTCTCATCTTCAACAAACATTGCACCACCTGTACGACAATCCTCATCTCCAACAAACATCCCACCACCTGACCGGCAATCCTCATCCCCAACAAACATCCCACCGCTTGTACGGCAATCGTCATCTCCAACAAACACACCGCCTGCCCAAACATCACTGCACAGAATGAATTCCTTCCATAATTACTCATCTTATAGGACTCCAACTTCTCCAACCAACTATCAGCCTACTTATTACCAAAGGAATCATGTGCAAGAGACACCTACATTCCTTTACAACAAGAACGCCAACATTTATCGGTCACTGAGAGAGAGGCGCGAAGACTTTACCACCTCCAGGTTTACTCAAAGCTGGAGATTATTTACTTAATCTACCACACTTTCATTTTAAAACTAAGTGGCTCTCTCTGTCACGATTGGACAGCTCATGTCCTCTGCTGGCTGAGCATGCTGGGCACTGAAATCCAGCAGCAGCTGCAAATTTGCAGCCCCTGGTCCATGCACTGATATTGTATGCACTAAGAATGAAATAAAAATATAAAAGGGTATATATATCATAGTTTAAAAACAATTATAGAAAAAAAAAGATTATCTATGCAAAATCTCTGAATCTTTTGATTTTGCAAGTAGGTGCTGTGAAGAATCCATTTTTTTAACCAATTAAATGCTGTGTATCAGATTCCTTTAGGGTTAAAGCTGGTGAAATTAATATTTATTATTAATATCCAGCTGTGTTTTTTTCTTCTTCTTTAATTAGATTATATTCCCTGTAATAGAATCAGTTTATCAAATGGCGATCCAACATTGAAGTTATTTTTTTTTATCATGTAGTACTGAAACATAATTCTAGGGAGTTTAATGCTTATTCTCTATACTGGGAAAAAGAGATTTGAGAAGGAAACCACTAGACCAAATGGACTATTTGAAACTCAAATTTTTAATTCCTTTTATCTGTTCTCCTCACTTCCTGGATCAGGTCAAATAAACTCTCATGAGATATCCTTTTTCTTACATTTTGCATATATGTTTGCAATTTTTTTTATGGCTGCCGCTTTGCTATAACGAACAATGATGATGTGTTAACATTGTAACACAATATTGTAACAACGGATGCTTAGAAATCTCACAGTAAGGTACAATTAAGCTACACTAGACTAAAGTGTAAAAAATATTTGTTACTTAATATACAGATACGGGCATTCTCTAATTACTCAAGAGAGTAATATATTATCTCAAATTTGTGTTTTTAGGAGCCTAAGTGCAAATAAGTTAAAAATGTATTTTTTAACCTAAAAATAGAGTATTGCGCAGAAATGGATGCAGATATTAATTCTTGTACATCTTCAAATTATATTATTTGTGTAACGTGTATGGGATAAATATACATTATTTTCTCAGAAAATTGCTAATTTTGTCTACCTTTTTGTATTTTCTGAAAGCAAAGATATTTTTCTTACATTTCAAATATTCTATGGTATGCATAGGTAAAAATGCTAACTATACACTATGAAATAAAAACGACAAAATATGCTATGTTCAATTTAAAAGAATATGTTAGAGAAAACACACTCCTGATACATCAAAAATGCAAGTGAATAAAGTTCACAGCAATTTTAACACTGTTTTAAAGACACTTGCGGTGGTATAGTAATTTTCATATACAAGTATACTTTGACATCCCTTTTTTTAGGGTCAGCATATTAGGACTTACATTTTGCAGGGATATTTACTAAAGTGAGAATTCACAGTGAATTTAAATTGAATTTCAAGCGACCCTATAGTCACCCAAACAACATTAGCTTAAAGAAGCAGTTTTGGTGTAAAGATCATGCCCCTGCAGTCTCACTGCTCTATTCTCTGCCATTTAGGTGTTAAATCACTTTGTTCATGCAGTCCTAGCCACACCTACCTGCATGTGACTTGCACAGCCTCCCTAAACATTTCTTGTAAAGAGTCATCTAATGTTTACACTTCCTTTACTGCAAATTCTGTTTAATTTAGAATGTCTTATCCCCTGCTCTGTTAATAGCTTGCTAGACCCTGCAGGAGCCTCCTATGTGTAATTAAAGTTCAATTTACAGAGCAGGAGATAAAAACCTTCAAACTAAATTACATCAGATTGAAAGTGAAACCAATTTTTGTTTTCACGCAGGTTGTTTAAGTCACAGCCAGGGGAGATGTGACTAGGGCTGCATAAACAGAAACAAAGGTGATTTAACTCCTAAATGGCAGGGAAGTGAGCAGTGAAACTTCAGAGGCATGAACTGTACACACAAAAAAAAACCTTCTTTATTAAGCAAAGGTTATTTTGGTGCATATAGTGTTACTTTAAAGCCAGAATAGCTGAAGTGAACCAAAGCTAACTAATAATAATTTTCCCATGTAGCTATTTTGGCCCTAATTTTGAATTCCACGTTGGATTCTAACTTTAGCTAATAAGTCTGTGTGAATGCAATCACATTCACTTTCTTATATCAAATCCTGGCACTACATTCATTATCTGACATCACGTCATAATTACACTTCCTCCTTCCTCCCTCTGCTCTCTGACATCATACACAGTCTCTGAAATTATACCTGCAAGTCTTATAGTGCTGTTATTCTTTGATACTATACTCACTGTCACTATAATAGTGACATCTCCACCTACTTTATGACATTATACTAATGTGCACTGACATTGCAGCACTCTCTGACATCACACCCACTTTCTATAACCACACCCATAAGTTCCCATCACATCTTGCTCTCCGACAATGCATCTGCTTTATGACATCATATCTCCTACAAGCATTGCTACATCACACATCACATGATACCAAGGCTGGGTATATCCTATACTAGTAGTTAGTTCCATAATGCTAAGCCAATCCATACTCTCAGGGATATTTGATAAATTGTTAAATACCAAAAATGAAAAGTGAATTGAAAGCTGATTTAGAATTTTATGTCAAAATATCATAATTGGAACAATTCTCCAAGTCAGCTATATTTTCTATTCAATTCAGGTTTTTTTTTACTTTAAATTTGAAAATTGTTTTGCATTCCCCATACTTTAGTTAATAACCATGGTAATATAGACTGGTTTTCATGAAACTTATGACTGGCATCGGATGGCATTTGGTTTTAAACTACTAACCAAGGGTGATTTTCAATTTAAACATTTAAGTTAAAAAGGGTGATAAGTCCCTTTTGAGTGATGAGGTTTGTATGACCCCACATTGTGTTTGTGTCACTTATTGTGAGTGGGTATGGGTCAGTGAGTCTGTGTGTGTTTATGGAATATTGTGTATATTTTCTATCGGTCAAAGATTGTGTGTATGTGTCATTGAAAATCTGTGTCAGTGAGAGTCGATGAGTGTGTGTGTTACAGACTGTAGGCTTTTTTATTTTCCTTGAAAGAAGTTTAACAGGTTATTCAGTAAAGTGAGAATTCAAAGTGAATTTCAAATTTAAGGTAAAATTAGTCATATTGAAAAACCTCTCTGTCATCTATGTATTCAGTTTGATTACTCTGGTCTTAAATGTGAAAATCACTTGGAATTCTTACTTTAATAAATACCCTCGTTAATAAAAATAAAATAAATAAATTGTATTAATTTATTTTATTTCTTAGAGTATTGTGCAATCCTAACAGAATGCATTGCAATAAATGCTTCTCTGTGAGGAGATGATGACTGGCACAGCTCGGTAATTACAAAATAGCCCTCAATGCTTTGCTATAGAAAAGCATTGGATTGCTTAAAAGTATCATCAGTGATGATCTCAGCATGGGATGGACATGGTGACACCAGAGCAGTGAGGGGTTAAAGGTATATAAATCTTCTTTCTTTTCTTCTTAAATGGGGGCCCTGTATCTAAAACACTAAGAAGAAACTCTAACCTTAGCAATAAGTGATTGCATTTCTAAAATTAGAGTCTTCCTTTATTGTCAATGGACTACACTAACCATGATGCTCATCTATCAATGGGAAAGGGACAAGGAATATAAGAGAATCATTTATAAATGGATTGGCTAGTTAAACGGCACCTACACGAGCCGCAAAAATAAATTACACCAAGGCATCACCGGCCCTTGTCCGTGGGTCAGAAACATCAAGGAAAAACAATGTAAAATTGTAATATTATGAGACGAAAAAAAAAAAAAAGTATATACAATTTCGTTAGTAAAAATTATAAACCTCAACAGTTAGCGAGTTCAATGTGTTAGCCTTACAGGCACCAACGATACTGAAATATTGCAACACGGGAAATATTTGTTACGAATATTGAACTTCCTGTCTGCTCCCTTCACAACAAAAAACACTTAGAAATAATATACAAAAAAAAAAATTACTGACGTCTAAACTATAACCTACAATTATTTTTTTTCAGAGAAGGTCCGAATATTTGCATGTTTTGTTCAAAGTTAGATGCTTGGGAAACGCCACTGGTATTTCTTACATAAAAACTGAAACAGTTTTTTTTTTTTTTAATTAAGAGAATAGGTCAAACAACAATATTCTTTGTTTAGTTTTTTTTTTTTTTATTCTATTTTTATTATCTTTTAAAAGTATCCTATTTACATGGTATTTAAATTACAACACATGAAGAAAAAGAAAACCAAACGAGAATACAAATGGATTCTGCCATAAATGCTTTTTAAAGGAATAAGACTTAAAAATCCCATTCGGCTACGTTGAACGAATAAAAGGCTTGTTAATCTATGGCTGAACAAATCGATTCATTCACACAGTGTAGCTGGCATTTAATTTGTTTGATGCAGCTGAAAAGGATTGGTTCACAGGTCTAAAACAAATACCGTTTTAATCCACAGAGTTGTTAGGATGAAGTTTTGGGGAGATTGCAGGACGATATTAGAGCACTTTTTACTTTTTTATCTTACAGACACCTACTATAAAAAGGAAGATTAGTATAGTACCTTGCCAGGTCACTTCGAGGGAGGCGGTGGTACCCTCAAGGTGACTGTTTGGTGGAGGAACTGGGGAACACAGTTTGCTGAACCTTCTATTACTTAGGTAACATGGGGGACTTTCATTGGAAAGTGGCAATGTTTTGAGTATCAGAAACACACTGTTCGATGGTTTATTCGTTAAAATGAGAAGATGGGACATAACATTGAAAGATGGGGACTTGTCAGAACATATCCCCACTTCTCTTTTAGTATCGGAGTCATCAAGTTATTCTGCCCAAGTTGTTTCTGGAACCTACCAACGCCTCTCATATAATGAAATCCATAACAATTATTAAGGGGTTTATGACGAATAAAAAACAAAACTGCAAAATTTAAACCAAAACAACTGATATAGACAACATTTTCAACATACCAATACACAGAACAGCCTGGTCATTTCAGGCTAAATTTTGCTGATCGAAAATAAATATTTGGCCTGGTGACCTTACTCATGTATCTACATAGTTAAAGCCACCAGGCCAAAGTACTGTATATTTATTTTGTCCTATTGAATAAAGTTTTCCTTTGTGGTATTACATTGTCATACCGGTGGATCTCTGCATTTTCATGTACTTTGGTGATTGTGGATCCTCACAGTGGAGAATCGATGTTCTAGCAGAGATTTAAAATTTTACCTGTGTGCAATAATTATGACATTATGATCCTTGGGGAGGATTGGGGTAACATCATAATAATTAAAGGAACACTATAGGGTCAGAAACACAAACATGTATTCCTGACCCTGTAGTGTTAAAATCACTATTTGGACCCAACAAAATATAGCAAAATCTTACCTTTACTGCTGCTGCTGGCTCTTTCCCTGATCTTCCTGCATGGCTGACATCATCAGAAGTGATCATCAAAGCCAATCACAATGTTTTCACATAGGAAAGCATAGGATTGGCTGAGACTGTCAAGGAGGCAGATCAGGGGCAGAGCCAGCATAAGTCAAACACAGCCCTGGCCAATCAGCATCTCCTCAAAGAGATGGATTGAATCAATGCATCTCTATGAAAAGTTCCGTGCCTGCATGCAGAGGTTGGAGACACTGAATATAAGTCACGGCTTGGCCAATCAGCACCTCTGGTGCAGCACTGCCTCAGGAAGCACCTCAAGTACCCATATGATAGGCTGTAACGTAAACACTGTCTTGTCTCTGAAAAAACTGTGTTTACTGCAAAACCCTGAAGGGAATGATTATACTCACCAGAACACATATTTTAAGCTGTAGTTGTTGTGGTGACTATAGTGCCCCTTTAAAGTGGATTGGGTAATGTGGTAGCTGGTTGAGGAGAGGTGTATATGAGGGTTATTATTATGGAATTAAGGGTGTAGGGTAGAGTAATTTTAACTATTGATGGTTTATAGGGATGTTAGGAAGCTGCGGAAAATAAAACTGGGGAGGGATTAGGGGATTATTGGGGTTGTTTTAGAGCTTTAAATTTAATTAACAACTCTTACTGTTTTTAAAGCACAACCACACAACAATTTTCAGCAATGTCTGTGACCTGAGGAATAGCTAAAAATTGACACAAGAACACAAAAACATATTGTTCCTCGATTGTTTTACATGACATCATGAGACTCTTGAACTGAAATTCCAATGTTGCTGTTTTAGTTCTGTAAGTGAAAAGTTACAGTACGAAAGAAAGGGACAGTTTCGAGTGAATAATGCAGAGTTTATAGGAGAGCAAGGTTTAAATAAGGCATTGTAAGCAGGGATTGCGTTGAGATAGAGAGTCTTGTCACAAACCCATGTGAGAGCAGGGGAGATTTCTTGTGACTACTCGTGGAAACATTTTGCACAGCTGTATTCCTGGTTTTTTTAATTACTCTAATGACATAAAAAAGAGGGGTGGGGGGAAAGAGTAAAAGGCCCTGGGGAGATAGCGCAGCCAAGCGGACAAGGGCACATGTTGGAGTGTGGGGATAGATGCGGGGGAGTGACTTGGGAAGTATGTGTAGGTGGAATTAAGTTTCTATGTAGTTAGTGGGGGGAGTGGTCTTACTTGAGTGCCACTTGGGAACCGGGCCAGCAGACAGCTTTCCGCCCGCCCACCCCTTTTTTGGTAGTTAGTCGCAGCTAGCCGGGGGTATGTCCTTGCCAATTAAGTTTTTGGGGTTATGTTTTTATGGTTGGAGTGAGTTAATAAGTTGGCAAGTCTCAACCTCCCCTGCTTTAAACGGTTAACTTTAGGTTGCCTGAGGTGTCGTGCCCATCGAGCGTGGATAAGGTCGGCTGATGGCGGGCATTGGAATGGTATGATTTATGACGAGGGGGGAGGTGAGAGGAAGTAGTGATTAGGAACCACGGTATGTTTATTGGCAAGGACGGGTGGGTCACTGTATAACACTGTGTTTGGAGTTATATATGTATATATGTTAATTTATGCTTATTTATGTCTAACGTTTTTGGTTACAGAAAAAGAAGAGATTTAATAAATAAAGTTATGGATGTGTAATGCAGTATTTATTTATTTATGTTATAATAAATGCGGTGGCCTGTTTCATCCATACTAAGTTGTCTGTCGTTATTGGGAGGGTTTAATGGGGTTAATTTATGTATAAAGTAGCATCGGAAAATTCCCCACTACGTACATACATGTATTTTTTTGTTTCTTTCTTTTGTAGTAGAAGTACGAAATGCCATGCAGATATAATTTGCAGATTTTATCTTATTTAAATTAACAGTTCCTGGAGGAAACAAAAAGTTAATGTTTGAAAACTAACCTTTAACTAAATTGTTATTTTAATATTGATTTAAGCAAAACATGATATGTCCATAAGGACTCATCTTGTTCCAATGATTGCGCATGATAAGATAGTTTATATGGCAACAGCTGTGATAGGTTGGGGAGTATGCACTAAATATACCATCACTTACTTCCCTTTCATACCTTTCCCATAGAAAAATTTATATTACTGTTGTTTTCTTTTCAAAAGCCTGTTGTAAGTAGACTGCACATAGGTCAAGTTTGCAAAATGTCACCCTATATTTAGTTTATCATCACCCCTTTTCTACTATATTTTCTTTGTTCAATAAACAGAAACAAATGAATCTTGACAGAAGTATCCGGGGCCTTGTAAAACAAGCTTTGCAACATACTAACGTACTGGCTATTCTTACAGAGAGATACTATTCTGATTTGTAATGGTGCTTGTTCAATTGACAGGGAATTACAGACAATTGGCAAGCAAACTGCATATTTTAGGTCAAGATAGTGATTTTGGGGGAGGAAATATCACACACCTCTTTCTCAGACAGTCAATGAGTTAAAGTTCTTATTATGCACCATAAGAGCTCTATCAGCTTGAGATATCAGGCGTTAACTACAATCTGCTCTCTCAGTGGTACCATATCCCCAAAGTTCTACACAAGGTCTTCTCATCAGACTCCCCAACCTGCATCTCTTATCTTATCAGACTTCCGACTCCGATCTCTTATGCACATTTGGTGGCATTGCCCAGTTATTCAGTCCTACTCAGGGCCGTCTTAACAGCATTATAGGCCCCCAGGCAAAGCAGTGCACTGGGGTCCTGCCTACCGTCAATCGGGAGTCTCCTGGAATGAAATTCACTCTCCCAGTCTCCCGCACAATCTTTACTATCTTCTATAATGACAAAATTTGTTATATATTATACTTTTGCATGCATGGTTTGTGCGAATAATTTTTTAACCAAACAACTAAGATTCATAGTAATTTTGGAGACTCATAGAAAGTGAGACAGTGGGCGTTGGATGCGTTGCAGATTCAGCGTTTCCTTCTACATCCACCTCTCATATTCACCCTTTACTCATTTATTTATTTACATTAATTTACCAGTGATAATAAACGACCTACGTGCCTGGAGGTGTAAACCAAGGCTTGACAGATTTAGAAAATGCCTTGGCTAATATCCCAGCTTATGTATGTTTGATAATAGGTGCTATAACAAGCTGTGTTGGATTGTCTCTGTACAACTGATGTTTGTACTTAAGAACTACATTTCTCTCTTCTGTTACTTGAATATCCCTAACAGGAAAAATATGTTAAATAAATATATATATTTTTAAAGATAATTAATTTAGAAAAATTGACAAATTGGCTATTTTGGACTAAAATCTGCAGATCCCTTCAATCCTCTAAAATTCCCAGTTTAGTGAGTAATTCTGCTAGGTGTTCTCTGGAGGGTAATCACTAGAGGTACAGTCATCTGAATTAAAATTACAAAAGAACGTAGTACCGATGTAGAATTATAGAATTCTTGAAATTATCTAAGCTAATGCTTTGGCAGGAAGAAATGTGCTGAATAATAAAATGTGTATTTACTAAAAGAACCTTGAAACTAAAAATACTAACTACTCAAAATGGCTGCCAAAGCACCCCTCCCATCGAGTGAACACCTCGTGCTAACAAGATGGCGCCTACATCTTGTGTCCACTCCCGTGTCAAGGATGACACCACCTCTTGATGGGAGGGTATCTAACTAACCACTTAACACCTGGACCAATCAATAGTGTCTATTTGCTGTTATGTTGAATTCTTCAGTGATGTAATAATGCCTTTAAAAGGGTCTGCACATGCATTATCTGTTAGAAGCCATTAAACTTTTCCGAAGTTCTTTCATTAACCTGAACTCTGTGTCTCAGTGTGAATTTACTTCTGCGTGCACGCAACTTTATTATCTTTAATTTGGACAGGAACAGATAGTCATTCAAACTTATTGGTTTGCAGAAAATAATCTACTACACCGAAGAGTGCCAGAATGTTGTATTCTAGAACAGGAGGAAGCCAGAATTATTATTCCAGCACGTAAAGAGCCACGTAAAGTATGGAAATAACTTATAGCTGATATATAAACACACAGGTAAAAATGCAAGGTTGTCTTACTCATTGAAATCTCAATTACATAACTTGGAAAATATACTAAATGTCACTGAATACCTTTAATTCTTTAATAGACGGAACAGAGTCAGTGTGGCTGAAGTATTTTCAGGACGTTACCTGGTTACGCTGTTTCAATAACACATTCTCGAATTTCACATAGTAGGTTTTTTTTTAAAAAAACCACAAATCATTTTCAGTGGTCTTTTCTATTTTTTTTCACTGTATTATTTTAAAAAAACAGGAAGTTAATACGTGTGTTAAAATTAATATGCACCTCATATCATATGGTGGGAAAGCTGTTTATTATTTCAAAATTAGATTATTTTTCCCCCTTCCTTTATGGAAGATGCTATCTGTAGATTATTGATACGATTGGAAACTAAATTATTAAACAATATAACAAGCTAAATGTGGGCTATGTTAGCGCATGAGTTAGCAGGCATGGAAGCCTCTGTCAACTAAACACATGCATAGTGTGCATATAACTCCCAAAAACAGGAGGTATGAAATTGGGGGTAGGTTTGGCAGAGCCATGAGAGGGTGTGCCAATTATGTAACCCATGTTATTGGCGACGACCATAGTAGGCAGGCCGACCCAGGAAAGTAAAGTGGCGTGCCTGGTCACGGACAGCATCCTAGCTGGCCCCCAGCCTTCAAAAGCATTCAGGGAGCGCTACGGAAGCTTGGCTCAAATGCGCACTCCACAGTACGTGCGCATAGTTAAAAATGTATTTAGATTGATTGTATATTTATAAATAAACAATATGTTGTGTATGAAAGGAAGATGACAAACAGATATAAATATACGTTATATTCATAGGTGGCATTTAGAGGAGTTAACTTTACCAAAACCCTCAGGTCTTATCTGTACACTAATAATGTCAGAGGCCCGGAGGTAAAGGAAAAGCCTGAGAGCTTTACCATAACACATAGCCAACAGTTGCCTTGGTTTCAAGAAATGCCTCCAAGTGTGGGATGGTGAGTGGCCCCTTCGTAAATATAGATCACAACTTTACACTGTGACTATCAAAAGCCAGCTAAGTGTCCGAGTTGGCCAGATCTATGTTATTAAACACCAGGTTGTAGGAGTGTCTCGGAATACACATGCAATCACAACTCACTACAACGGTAGAAGTTACATGCTAAAAACCTGGTAGTGATAGAACACTCCAGGACAGGGATATAGGAGGCTCAATACTATGGAAAAAATACTGCCCTGTCCTGTTACAGCTAATTGCTTGCATGTTTTGCAATGTCAAACTCTACTGCAAAACCTATCACCACAATAAAATCGCCATCATACACCTTGTGCATCTCCACAATACACTCATAGTAAACGACAGTGTGGGTGCTGGTAAAAGTTAAAACAAACAGTCGTTTGTAATGAATTAAAACATACAGTCTCTCCACAGTATAAAAATCAACCTCCTGATAATAAAATAAAAATTGTAAAAGAGGTAAAATCTCTCCAATACATGTTTTTTGTTGTGCAAAAAATAATGCATGCTAGTGAAATTTAAATGTGGCAAAATCACGCTTGCCTTATGTTAATTACATTTTTGCAGCAATCTCCACATTGTTTTGCAATGAATTCACTTCTTTAAAGGGTTGTTCCACTTCGTTGATTTGAAGTGGTTATGGTGCCTGGAGTCTGTATGTGTTTCATTCTGCTTTGTAACGCTGCACATACAGAGATTAACCCATATGCTGCCAAAGGTGTAACTCCATCTCTGGCAGGATCATAGATGGCTGGCTAATGTCAATTCCATGCAACTTTTGCTGCGCAGAATGAAAGTCATTGGCTGAGAGCGTCAGCTGACACTGTCAGCTAATGAATGCCGAACGGCAGGGTGAACGCATCTTCAGCTCTGCAGAAGCTAGAAGTGCATTACCGAACCACC